TTGCACCGCCGGCCGGCAATTGGAATTTGGAAGAGAGTGACGGAGTGACCTAGTTTCAGGGCCGAGAGGATTCCGCCAGAGCAGCAGCTGATGCCGGCGGCAGCAGTTGATCACTGATCGATCGATCGATCCTCTCTGTCGCATGGATTCTTGTTTTTCTTTCATAAACCCACCACAAAAAACCCTCTTCCTTTTGCCAGCGTATCCAGATTCTCCCGACTTCTGATCCATTCTTCAATGGCATCCGCCTCTTTCGCTGCTAGAACCGTCTTCGCCAGCCGCTCTGTTTTTCAACTTTCTTCTCCATCTTCTATTTTCCACAAGGTCCAATCCATCAAATTTGCTTTTTCCGTAAGTTCGTTCTCCAATTGTTCTCACGCGTCTTATAATTCATTTAGCTTTATTGCTTCCGTTGATCTACTTCGTCGATTGGTATTGCCTACGGCGCATCAACGTTTTGTTTTATGAAGCTCTGGCATTCCACGTTTTGGGTTTGGGAGCAAGTCTTTAGGGCTTTACATTTTTGTGTTAAAGTTTGATTTTTTTTCATCTCTTCGTGTTTTTTTTGATTGGGGATATGGAATTTGTTTTCTGCATGAGCAAAAAAGTGGCAACAACAAGCCTTAACCCCCAAGTAACTTGGGGTTGGCTACATGAACCAATAAGAGAATCACAAAATATGCTCTCTTTTTCGTTCTGTTTATAAATATGAGCATAAAGTGAATGGAGAAAGAAGAAGAAGCCCTGCTCCTTAGTTTGGTTTTTTTGTGTTTTTAGTTTCATATACTATATAGGGTTAGAGACATGAGCTTATGAGCAGGGTGCATTGTTTTGTTGTTGCTGGCAGAAGAGACAGTGGAACTCGCAAGCATCTTTCTCCCATCTATCACATCAGGTTACTGGTTTTTCTGCTTTTCGGATGGCTTCATCACTGTCTAGGGCTCAACCTTCATTCTCACCAGCATCCTTGAGCACAAATGAACCTGTTGTGTCTGTTGAATGGCTGCATGCCAACCTCCGAGAGCCTGATCTAAAGGTGTGTTTGGGGCTTCTTTTTCTTGTGGATACACTTGAAACATATCAATGCCACAAGTACTCCTATTTATTGATGGCTTTCTAGTTAATATCTATTCTTGACTCAGTTGGCCATTGTAATGGTTGATATGCATTGTTATTTCAGGTTTTGGATGCTTCATGGTATATGCCAGGTGATCAGAGAAATCCACTTCAAGAGTATCAGGTAATGGTTTCTTGATGAAGCTTTGTTGGTTAATATTATTACATAGAGCATCCATATAATTGTGAAAGGCATGGGTTGCGTTTCTTATGCTATCTACTTCCATACATAATTACTTCTGTTTGTGTGTGTTTGACAATTTGCAATATGCATTGTTCTATTTAGCTCTAATGCTTTGCAAAATTATAACTGAAAATTGTTTCTAGTTTCACATCATTTATTAATTTTATTGTTACAGGTTGCACACATTCCCGGTGCACTATTCTTTGACTTAGACGGCATAGCTGATCGAACTACTAATGTAAGACTTGAATCCACACACTCTCCCATGTCTCAATATAATATGCTTTGTTAGATTGATTGGCTCTATTGTCCCATTGCAATACGTAAAGCTCTCTTTGTCAATGATTCTTATCAGCTGCCGCATATGTTGCCATCAGAAGAAGCATTTGCTGCTGCTGCGTCTGCTCTTGGTATTGAGAATAAAGATGGGGTTGTCGTATATGATGGGAAAGGGATTTTCAGTGCAGCTCGTGTTTGGTGGTGAGTTTGGTTTTGTTCATCGGTCACATGTGTAAGTTTGCCAACCCTTCCTTCTTTGTTGTGTAATTTAAGAACATTTTACAGGATGTTTCGAGTTTTTGGACATGATCGAGTTTGGGTTTTAGATGGAGGCTTGCCAAGATGGCGTGCTTCTGAATATGATGTTGAATCAAGTGCATCTGGTGATGCAATTCTGAAAGCTAGTGCTGCCAGTGATGCTATAGAGAAAGTGTATAAAGGGCAAGCAGTAAGTGGACTATTGACATGGGAAGAACACCCTCATTCCCCCCATACTTTTATAACCCGTGGGGTTTTGAAAAATTAATATTTAGTCTTAGTGATTTAGCATTCTGTTTCTAATATTTCATTTTACACTTAAAAATCTCCATGTACTACGTAATTCGTACTCGGTATTAATTAGAGTATATGATATAGAGTAATAATGCAATGGGGTCGTTTTATCAATGTAGCCGACCCCACCTACTAGGATAAGTCTTTGTTGTTGTTGTATATGACACAGAGTAATGATCTTCTATATTTGTAGGCTGGACCTATCACATTTCAAACCAAGTTTCAGCCACATCTTGTTTGGACACTCGAACAGGTATGTTTTATTTATTGTAAGCTTATGCCTATATATTGGAGAGACAATTCTGCAATGTCTAAGAGTTTGAGACTTCGGCATATGTGCCAAAAACATGGATGTATAGTGTACTTTTATTAGTAGACTGGTCATCTTTAAGATCCATTTGGTGGGAAACTTGTGGGTGTAAAACATGGTGTGTAATTTATTTATCTTGTTATTATATGCCCTCTAATGCTTATCTATCTGGTTAACTGTTGAAATGTGTAGCTGCTACTCCGTTTACATCTCATATTTAAGACCAAATTTTACACTTTCAGGTGAGGAACAATATTGATGAAAAGTCACATCAGCATATAGATGCTCGTTCAAAAGCTAGGTATTTTAACGACCCATTTGGCGAAATTGGTCTTGTTTTTTTATTTTTGGCAATTTAACTTTGCTGCTACCAGACCTTGCTTCTTTTTACATGAAGATCTAGTGTCACTCTTATGGGGTTGTCATCATCACAAACAAAAGCAATTAGGTGGCAAGTAAATAATCACCTCAGCAATTAACTTGCCTAAAGTATGCTCGCAAGGATGTCACGTGAGATATTCAACCCAAAAGGGGAAAATTCTATACACAAGACAAGTAGTCAAAATTTAGAAAATAGTACAAGTAGTATTTTGCTAGGGCTACATGTCCAAAATTTCAATTTAGCCCCCATAATAAGGTCCTCACTTGTCTTTTCTGGTTGTCCCATTCCTTTTGGGTAAAAAAAGTTATCATGGCTAATAAAAAGTGCCACACCACTTCACACAAAATGTCTGGCTTCAAAATTTGCCTAAAGTGCTGTCAAATTCAATGGAGAACCTTATATTAGGATGGTCGTTTATTCTTTTTTTCAGATTACACCTTGTCAGTTTACTTCTTTCTCTTATGCTACTCTTACACAAGGACAACAATAAAAAGGGTTTAAACCATAATGATTATGGGTTTTGCTTGTATCACTTTAATAATTAAAGGCAAAAGCCGTTATATATATAAAACCTCATCAGAATTCAGAACAAAATATGCATCCAGAACTGGTTTTTTAATGCAATTTTAGAAAATGAAATTCACAAGAGGCAAGTCTTGTGCAGGTTTGATGGGGTTGCACCAGAGCCACGAAAAGGAATACGCAGTGGACATGTTCCAGGCAGCAAATGCATTCCCTTTGCTGAGGTAAAATTACTTTTGGTGAAGAGCTGATGATCTTTTATACGGAGTAAGATTTAGTTGATAAATTACTTGCAGTGTTGTGCCATGGAGTATTCAAGAACACATTGTTTTTTGTTTGCTTTCTTTGGCAGATGCTTGATGACTCGCAGACACTTTTATCTGCAGAGGATCTCAAGAAAAAATTTGACCTAGAAGGTAAGAATTAGCATCACGAGTACCAATCAATACTTGTGCTAGTGTTGTGTTTTTGTTTAGTAATTTGTATTTTTATTGGAAAATGGTTTGGACTTTTACTGTCTTAGGCCTTTTTTTTACCTTTCACTTTGCTTTTTCCGTTTCACGTAAAAGTGAATTTTTGAAAGAAGCATTTTCACCTTGGAAGCAAGGATAATCCAAAAGGCTAACGTGTGCTAAAGAATTTTCACATTTCTATTTTCTTTTCCCGTTTTGCGTATCCACTTCTATGCAATTAACATCATGCTTTTATCACAGAAATCTCTGTGGAGAGTCCTATAGTAACCTCATGTGGCACTGGTGTGACAGCTTGTGTTCTTGCCTTGGTCTCTCTCTCTCTCTATCTCTCTCGCACTATATACTACAGAGGGATGTTTATCTTTGGCACGCGGATTAAGATGTGTTTTAAATATTTGTTTCAGGGACTGCATCGACTGGGAAATGGTGATGTGGCGGTTTATGATGGTTCGTGGACAGAATGGGGAGCAAATATGGAAACCCCAGTGGTTTCGACATCTGGTGAAGCTTAGAAAAAGAAAAGCTTGTGATCCTCTGAAAATAGGTGCTACAAACATAAGATCTGATTGTTATGTGGATTCGGGGATATTTATACGTACATTTGCTTGTATGTTTCAACAGTTCATTCATGAGAGTATACCTGTTTTTTTTTCTTTTTTAGTATTAAATTCTATGAAAAACCTTACAATTTTTCAACAATTATTCGAACAATAATAGTTTCAAACATCTCAAGTAAGCTAATTCAATGATTTTTGCTATGGAGAGATGTGTTGTCTTGCTATGGAGACTTGTGTATCAAAAGAACACCATGGTTCTTTTGACAGTGGATTTCAATAGTGTCATAATACGACCCTAAAATCATACGGCCCTGTGTTGGGTTTGAAGTTGGGCGCTATCCCTGTGTGGACCAAAATCTGGACCTCTAGACCCAATGGAACGCTCTAATAGGCACTCGGTGCCAAAATAACCATGATGCTCAAAGAATTGTACTCCTTTTGTTCCATAATAATGTTTAGTTTTTTTACCCAGCCAAAAATGAGCTTCTACTTCCAATATTAGGCAATTTTTTTTGTGGCTTATATAATGTTTTTCATTTGACTCACTTTTAACCACACAATTTTATCTTTTTAACTTCAACTTAGCGTCAAATCCATTTTTATTTCACACAGAAGGATTAAAACGAGTATATAAGTACAGACTACAGAGAGATAGATGTGTACTCGTCATATAATGTACAAAAACACCAAATATAAAACATGCAGAAGCCATACATGTCTAGGATTAGCATGCTCTTTTCCATCTCAGCAGAATATGAAGCAAAAAAAATGGCTGCAAAATTTATTCAAACACCAACACACTTTCTATCTTAGGGCCTAATTAAAAAAAACCCAAAGGGGAAAACTCAAGAAGAAACAATGAAAGGCAGAAACAAAAAATGAAGTGCTCTCAAGCATCATTGAGTGCAAGAACACCTGGAAGCATTTTCCCCTCGAGTAGCTCCAAGCTAGCGCCGCCTCCAGTTGAGATATGGCTCATCTTTTCCGCAAGCCCAACCTTCTCAACTGCTGCCACCGAGTCTCCTCCTCCAATGATTGTTGTCACTCCCTTTCCGCTAAGCTCTGCCAGTTTCTTTGCTATGGCCTGGCAACCAACCCCCGGGTCATAATTGAAACCATTCAAACTATACCAAAGAATTCAAAGGTGAATAAACATGTAATGCTTTTACAAACCTCAGTCCCAGCAGCAAACTTGTCAAACTCAAACACGCCCATAGGCCCATTCCATATGATAGTTTGGGTGGTATCCAAGGCTTCACCAAACGACTTGATTGTGTCCGGCCCAACATCTAGCCCCATCCACCCTTCAGGAATTTCAGTAGCGCTGACCACCTGGGAAAAAAATCACAGACATATATATCATTTATTAATGACCTCAATACTTGAATGAAATTCTAAGGTTGTGTTTGGAGTGGGGAGATTTTATGTTTGATTTTACCTTGAAAAACAATCTGGCTCTTGATTATAGTACTTCAAAATTCAAATTCACAACAACCCAATATAAATTATATAATCCCACAAAAATAGGGTCTGGGGAGGATGTGTGTACAATTACCCCTACTTGGAAGTAGAGAGGATGTTTCAAAATATAAAGAGTTCAAATAAAAAAATTGGATATTAAAACCAAATAATCTAGTTTGAATCCATTGTTTTATTCCTATCCTACTTTTCTTTCATTCAAATTTTCTCAGTGATCTATTTGAAGGTGACCCTAAAGAAATACACTTAAAGGAGAAAAGTGCGTGAAACCTTGCTGTTAGCATCTGCAGAAAACTTGTCAGCAACCACAACGTCAGAGGGAAGCAACAACGAGACTCCTTTAACCTTGGCCTTCTCAATAAGGGAAGTGGCTAGGTCAAGCTTGTCTTCCTCCAAAAGTGAGGACCCAACCTTGTACCCCTGAGCCTTGTAGAAAGTAAAGATCATCCCTCCACCGAGCAATAGCAAGTCCACTTTCTCCAACAGCGACTCAATCACAGCAATTTTAGTAGACACTTTTGACCCACCAACAATGGCAGCAAATGGCTTTTTAGGGCTAGTCACAGCTCCTACTAGATAGTCAAGCTCCTGAGGTAACAATGGAAGTCTAATCATTTCAGTGTAATTAGTAATGCATACAAGACAGTATTTGTTAAGAAATAGAGTATCATCTGATAAAACTTCTCAGAAGCCCATTGAAAACACCCACCTTCTGCATAAGGAATCCGGCAACAGCTGGTTTCAAGAATTTGGCAACTCCTTCCGTTGAAGCATGAGCTCTATGGGCAGTTCCAAACGCATCATTAACGTACAAATCTGCAAGAGAGGCAAGCTTCTTTGCAAATTCAGGATCATTCTTCTCTTCCTCTTTGTAGAATCTCACATTCTCCAGAAGCAAAACACCACCATCTGGGATTTGAGCAACCAATTTCTCCACTTCCTCACCAATGCAATCATTTGCCATCTTGACCTAATGAAAGGCAACAACAACAAAAAAACCCATCCTAATTATTACATTTCGAAATATCATTTCGAAGAAATGTGATCTAGAAACTCAAAACAAACCTCAATGCCAAGGAGCTCAGACAATCTAGGCACAAGAGGTTTCAAGCTGTACTTTGGCGTGACCCCTTTCGGGCGACCCTAAAACCGATCAACCAACCAATTACTAGAGCAGATGAAACAAAGCATCTCAAATTCAATCCGAAAAACCTAAACGAGTACAACATATCGGAAACAAATCAAAACAGACACTGATTGTGCCACGATCGGAGATCGAAAACAAATCAGGAGAACAATTAATTAACAGCACGAATACGACCAACAGGAACGAGGAAGGAAGAGAGAAGATTGGAGCTCACGAGATGAGAAGAGAGAATGACACGAGCGCCGTGTCCGATGAGGTACTGGATGGTGGGGACGGCGGCGCGGACTCTGGTGTCATCGGTGATTTTCAAGTTATCGTCCAAGGGAACGTTGAGATCCACCCTGACGAAGATTCGCTTCCCCTTCAGATCTGCCTCCTTCAGCGAACCCACGCTCTTCTTCACGGCCATTGTAGTCTCACACACCTTCTCACGCACAACGAGCAGTTCTAATAAATGGATTGCAGGAAGAAAAAAAGTGCAGATGCAAAGAAGTAAATTCACATGAATAGTCTCACGAAGAAGGGAAAAAAGTATTTTTATCGATTTTTGTTATTTATATATACTTTTTACCATTTCTGAATGAACTTATTTTAAATTAAATTTAACTCATTCTTCTATAAAAATAAAAAAATTAAATTTACTCTCTTTATATATATATTTAGAAACTACTATTTCATAACTTTTATTTGTTTATATATTTTCATTAATAATTTAAGAAAACTAAATATTTTTTTCATAACTTACCTATCTTATTTTATAGAAATTTTAATAATCTGTATATACTTTGGAGTAGTGAAATTTGTAAGGCTATATTCCTATTTAATTAAAATAAATTTAAAAATGATAGAATTTTTCACGTTGTTCATAGAGTGAAAAATATTACGGAGTATGAGACAAATATGATATACTTTGTACATCTTATTAATATTCAATACATTACATTTCATTATTTATTTAAAAATTTATAAATACGGCATACCAAGTTACAAATGATATAAAATTTCCAAATCAATTTAATATAAACATTTCAAAATAAAATGTTGCATGCCTTCAACTTTATTTAATTTATTCGAATAATGATGTAGAATTTTTAAATAAAATTATATAATTAGAAATTATATATATAGTGCTATTTAAAACAAGAAGTAATAAAATTATATTTTTTTTAATAAATGACAAACAAAATTATGACAAGAGTACCATTTCACGTTTGGTCTTTCGTCTATTTTTTTGTGCACATGCCGTTAGACAAGAACTAAACGTAGAATAGTGCTGTGTATTTTCAATCCTTGTCTAATGGTACAAAAACAAAAAAATAGACGGAGAATCAAACGTGGAATGATATCCAATTGATAATGGCTGTTAACATAATACTTGCTTCGTTCACAAATTTATTTTCTGATTTGATTTAACATGAAAATTAAGAAAAATTAAAAAGTGTGAAAAATGTTTGCCGTGATGAAATAAGGTGAATAATGTAGATAAATGTGGAGGTCATTAAAAGCTTTTTACCAAATAGAGTATTTGATAACGAATTAATAGCATGGCCGCCCACTGTGGTTTACAAAAAGGGCGTCAAAACCCCTTCTGTTTTCAAAAGTTATTTGTAAAGTTCTTGTAGTTTCTAAATAGAGCACACATGCCTCCTGACCTATTTTTTAAGCAAAAATGACATTTATGCCCTTTGTTTTTCCCGGTCTTGAATTTTTCCAATTTCAATTTCCTTTATTATACAAATATATAAAATAAAATATACGTTTCCCAACTCAAATTAGAATTTTTCATAATGTACTTTTGAAAACAAAAGATTTTTTTGGAGAATGTTACAAAAAAATGAAAAAAAATATTATGCACACAGTAAAAAGTAATACAGTACTCCGTAATAGTTAAAAAAGGCAATGAAAAGAAAAAAAATAAAAATAGTAGTCTTTTTCTTTAACTCCATATTTTATTTCATCTTTTTGTTCTTCATTTTTTAAAGTCTTTAAAAATTATTTTACTTTAAAAAAACAAATAAGTTAGAATTTTTAATTAGAGATAGAGTGAGTATATGTTATCCAATTTTTTATTTTATTTATTTTATTTTTACTTATAATGAAAAGGTGTATTTTATTTCATTTTTTGTAACATTTTCTAAAAAAAATTATTTTTTTGAAAATTAAATAAATGAAAAATTTAAATTTGAGAAAGAGGGCGTATATTTTGTTTTATTTATTTGTATAACAAAAAATGTAAAAAAAAAGTAAAATCTGAAGATAGAGAATAACCAAGGGCAAAAATGTCATTTCATATCTAAAATAGGCAAGAGGGGATGTCTGTGCATCATTTAAAACCACAGGGGTTTTACAAATAACTTTTGATAGTATGGGGGTTTTGGCGCTCCTTTTGTGAATCACAAGGGGCACCTATGCTATTACTCCATTTGATAAATATGGATTAAATTTAAAAGAACAATGCTAGGGGTACACCAAAATGTGTACCTCAAATGCACACCACCCCCTTCTCCACCACACATTTTTATTTGATTTTTATTTGCTTATTTTTTTAAATTTTTTTTGCCTTTTTTAGTTGACAAAGAGGGGGTGAGGGACATATGAGGTACACCAAAGATGTACCCCTAGCATTTTTCAATTTAAAAACTCTAATTATAAACAAAGGACTATTTAAATTTACTCTAAAAAAATGTTGCAAAAAAAAAAAAAACTAAATTAAAAGAAATAAAAGTAAAAGACCTGATCGGGAGCATGAGATTTCTTCCCGCAGTGCCATGGCAGGGTGACTGTAAATTGCAGGGCTTTGCAGCGTGGAAGATAGCCGTTTAAACCCCTCCGGCCATAGTGAACTCCGACCACCGCATTCGTCGGGACTCTAAGCGTTTCCATGGATATCCGTCACTGTACAAGCTCACTTCACTCATCCCCAACCACCAATCTCATCACCAGAAGACGACCTCACTCCAATCTCGGCTTCCATAGCCTTCATCTCTCCAACCGAAGACGGAACCTCTTGCTCTCCCGCCGGAAGAATGCTGTGTTCGTGGCTTCTTTCTCGTCCCCTTCGAATGGGTCCCAAGGGTTTTCTTGGCTCCACCTTTCCCAGTCCGTCCGCAGCGGTTCCCAACGTTTCCTTGAGGCATTGGGCGATTCTGTGAAGAAAGAGACTGGATTCGAGTTCGAAGGTGCGAAAGCTCGAGTCTTTAAATTTACAAACGGAGCTCGAGCTAGGCTTGACATGGTTAAGTCCGAGTTGCTACCCGAGTTTATTGAGTGGCACAGATGGGAGCTTTGGAAGGTGCGGTTTTTTCTTCTTTGAATTTATGTTAATAAAATTATCAGCAAAAATGTATTTATTTATTTATTTATTTTTGTTTGCAGGATATTAAGAATTGGGAACTGAAAAGAGTTGCCATTTTGCTAGTATATGGTGTCATTACAGTCTTATCATTTCAAAGATTTGTGATGGCCGTTCGTGCTCCAATAATTGACAGAGAAAGAAAGAAATTGACTGAGGCATATATGGAGGCATTAATTCCTGAACCCACTCCTGCTAATATCAAAAGGTATGTACTTGTCTATTCCTTTCACCATCTATAGCACTGGTTTGAAGATTTTCTTCGCGCTGGGCAGTGATATGTTATCTACCTTGCCAAAGAATGAAAGAAAGCAACTTGGTTGGTTCAATATATGCTAGTTCTTCGGAGTCAAGATAGATGTCTCGACAGAAAGCTATGATTTTTTCCCACATGATTCCGTATTTTTAAAGAGACTTATTGTGTTACCTGTGTCACTGGAACTGGAGAGGGAAGTTTTGGTTTGCCATCATGGCATTGGCATCATCCTCTACTTCAGTTCCCCAGTTGCTTGCTTTCAAGCTTACAACTATCAGATGATGCAAATGGGGTCTTTCTTAGATTCTTATATACAAAGCATACATTATAAAGAATGACTGATAAAAGTTGTATTTTTAAGTGCTTTATTTTATTGAGTTAAATAATGTGATATCACATTATCTGCACTTTCGTTGTGTTTCGTACTATGGCAGGTTCTTTCTAATTTTGAGTATTTTTCACCTATAGATTTAAGAAAGGTTTGTGGAGAAAAAGTATCCCAAAAGGTCTAAAGTTAAAAAAATTCTTCGAAGGACCAGATGGAAGTTTAATTCATGATAGTTCATATGCTGGGGAACATGCATGGGAAGATGATTCTGGTGGTCCTGAAGAAGCTAGAAAGGCTCTGAAAGAAGATCTAAGAATATCAGGTACGTGGACAGGCAATAAATATGATGATTCTGCTTTTCTACACGAAGCGTCATTTTTTGCACTTTAAGCTCTTGCAAGTTGCAACTACAACAAACCAATAAAATCCCACAGACTTTACCTCTACTGGGAAAGTAGAGTCTGTTTCCAAGTGACCCCCCGACTCAAAACAAAAGGAACACTGAAAAACATGTAAAAGAAAAGGAATGGGAATGACAAAGGATAGTTGCACAGAAGAATCAATTTAGGCTCTTATAAACATAAATTATTTTTTTCCTTGAGAAAAATATCTACACTGCATTGATTCTTTGCTTTGGGTGGGGTCAGTGTTTGGTTGGGGCTAGAATATGGCAGAATCTGTTTTCAGTTCAAGCATTTCTTTGAAATTTTTTTTAGCAGATGAGTCTCAAGAGACTGCAGGAAATTGGCGTGAAAGGCTTCAAGCATGGAATGACATTCTTAGAAGGGAGAAGTTGGGCAATCAACTAGACTCATTAGGCGCTAAGTATGCTGTTGAATTTGACATGAAGGAGGTTGAAAACAGTCTTCGCAAGGATGTGGTTGAGAAAACGAGTGAAACTCAAGGAACAAGGGCACTATGGATATCAAAAAGATGGTGGCACTATCGCCCAAAACTTCCATATCTTTATTTTCTTCAAAAACTGGACTCGTCCGAGGTAAAAGGAAAATCTTCTCCTGGCTGACTGAAGCAAGAGATGGAACCAAATTAATGTATCTTAATATATGAGCTTCTATTAGTAAATGAATCTTGAGTGAAGCTCTCTGTTTCTAATGGATTGGAAGTTGTTAGGTCGCTGCCGTTGTATTCACAGAGGATATGAAGAGGGTATACGTGACAATGAAAGACGGATTCCCACTGGAATACATTGTGAGCCATATATCTTGCTTGAAATTGCATCTCCTATTGAATTTGATTGTAGGTTAATGTATCATATTTTGTAGGTTGATATTCCATTAGATCCTTTTATGTTTGAGATGATAACTAGTTCTGGAGCTGAAGTGGATCTTCTGCAAAAAAAGAAGATCCATTACTTTCTGAAGGCGTTATGTGCTCTACTGCCTGGAATACTGGTTTTGTGGTTCATTAGGGAAACTGTGACGCTCCTATCTATTGCTGCAGAACGTCTCCTCTATAAAAGTTATAATCAGTTTATGGACATGGCTTATGCTGAAAATGTTATTCTGGTACCTTTCAAGTCCCATCTCCCATATATATATCAGTTTTTATTTTTCTATTACTTCTCTGAGACATTCGTTTATTATGTTTCTTGACCTGCGCAGCCAATGGGAGAGGTTGAAGAAACAAAATCTGTGTATAAAGAAGTAGTATTGGGAGGAGATGTTTGGGACCTTTTAGATGAGTTGATGATTTACATGAGAAACCCTATGCAGTTTTATGAGAAGGAAGTCAAGTTTGTTAGGGTAAGCACCACAGAATTTCCAATCACTTTGGTTGCCTACCCACAAACACACGTGTGGGTGATTTCATTAAAACATGAAGTAGTGTGCATCCATTGGTACTGGATCTCAACCGTTAGATTCGAGATCAAACGGTTGTGATTATTGTAACAATTTCTACTGTTTTGCATCAAAATGTGTACTCGTGTGTGTGCATGTGCGCTTGCTAAGGCACTCCCTTTGTCCAAAAAAAATTTTCCATTTGCATTTGTCGCCCCAATTAAGGAAAAAATGGTATGATTGAGAACTATCATGAAATGAGATAAAATCAACCACACAATTTTTTCCATGAAAGGAAATGAGATGTTCATTTCGGGACAACCAGAAAAGGAAAGTGAGAAGTTTATTTTGTGACGGAGGGAGTTATATTTTAAGCATTATACTAATCATCTTATCTTGAAATGTGCATTGTAGGGTGTTCTCCTCTCTGGACCTCCTGGAACGGGTAAAACACTTTTTGCTCGAACACTGGCAAAAGAAGGCGGTCTGCCATTTGTTTTTGCTTCTGGTGCGGAGTTTACAGACAGTGAAAAAAGTGGTGCTGCACGGATTAATCAGCTCTTTTCCGTTGCTAGGAGAAATGCAAGTTTTCTAACTTTAACTCCAAGTTTATGTGTTAGAAGTATTACATGTTAGTAACACACATTTTTTTTTGCTTCATTTATGCTTTTAGTCGGCATTCATCCCTTGGACCCCTGCTAACAGGACTTACTGACATATTTAGTGGAATTTGTTTTCACATTTTTTGTTATTGTATGTTACATACTTACATATAGATTTTAAATTATTGTGTCGTCTTTGTAGGCTCCTGCATTTGTGTTCATTGATGAGATTGATGCAATTGCTGGTAGGCATGCAAGAAAAGATCCACGCAGAAGTCAAACCTTTGATGCTCTGATTTCCCAGCTTGATGGAGAGTTAGTCTCTTATCTTCTCTATCTCTTTTGTCTGGCACAATATTTATTAGTAAGCATTCTAACCTTAGGTTTCAGATTGCAAACAGATACCCTATGTGCCATAATAAGATTCCAACTTTTTTTGCCCGTCCCAAAAGAAGGTCCACATTCCATTCAAAGAAAGAAATCAAAGAATCGCTTAGTTCATATATTTTTTCTCTCCAAACCAATTTCAACTACACATGTCACTTTTCTTAATAAGTTGCCAAGTCGAACCATGGACCTCCTTATGAGACAAGGAGTATTTTCAAAAAATGATGCTTCCTCCACCTCATCAAAAGAGCCGTATTTCAACAAGGTACAACTTTGTAATTTTGTTAAGGTACAACTATTCAAAACAATCAATTGTTACTATCGTTCAAAATCTAACATATTTAACTTCTTTGTGATACTTTTTTTTAATCAAAGAACATTAGATATTATAGAAAATTAGTTTTGTTTTTTTAAATTCAAAGATGAATTTTACGTGGAAAATAAGCTTTCAAATAGGAATAGTACTCTCTTTTGGGACGGAGGGAGTAGTTCTTTCGCCCAAACACTATGCTCATATATTATTTTGAGTACAACCCTAAAATGTATATTTATTTTTCAGGAAAGAGAGAACTGGTGCTGATAGATTCTCTCTCAGACAAGCTATAATATTTATCTGCGCTACTAACAGACCAGATGAGCTGGACCCGGAATTTGTTCGCCGTGGACGTATAGACAGGCGTGTGCATATCGGTTTGCCTGATGCAAAGCAAAGGCTTCAAATTTTTGGTGTCCACAGTTCTGGGAAACAGCTTGCTGATGATGTTGACTTTGAGAAAGTAAATTCTTTGTTTTTCTTAAACCATTGTAATTCCTGTTATTTTCTTCTTTGATTAGCTGTTTGAATAATCATGGAAAGAGGCTTCTTTTGATGTTTCTTTGAGAAAGAAAATGCTTTTTTTTCTTCATTTCTTTAGGTTTCATCGCTTATTGCATTATTGTTGTGCTTGTGATATTTATATTTTTCGTTTTCCATCTGCTTGCTTCAACTTTGTGCACTGTTCTTGGTCCACTTGGCTGTTTCTCCTTCTGAATGTATGTGATCACAACAGACTCTGTTTTATGTTATCTTGCAGCTTGTCTTTCGCACCGTTGGGTATTCCGGAGCAGACATTAGAAACATGGTCAATGAAGCTGGAATAATGTCTGTAAGTCAGTCTTTGTTCCTTTTTTTCTGAACATTAACTTTGATTGTACTTGTTTCATTCGTTCTCTAGAGGGAACGTTTTAGGGAAAATACAAAATGGAAGTGGACAGTACTTATTTCATTCTTTCTCTAGTGGCTCATGATATTCATTCTTTTTATGAATATTGACAAAGTGGGTTGGTGATACATATGCAGATCAGGAGAGGGCATTCTAAGATCTACCAGCAGGACATGATAGATGTGTTGGACAAGCAGTTGCTTGAAGGAATGGGCGTGCTTCTCACTGAGGAAGAACAGCAGAAATGTGAACAAAATGTACGAACTTTTCCATATTGTTTGCCAAAAGACAGAACTGAGTTACACATGGTTGATCATTTCCTAAGAAGAAACTATTTGTAACAGATCTCTTTTGAAACGAAAAGATTGCTTGCAGTACATGAAGCTGGGCATATAGTGTTGGCACACTTGTTCCCTAGATTTGATTGGCATGCATTTTCTCAGCTGCTTCCCGGAGGAAAGGTATAGTTTCTGGTCATCTTCTTAATGACATTATTCAGCTATGTCCTCATTCTGCTCAAAATCTGTTTTTTTTCTTTCTTGCTCGATTAGGAAACCGCAATATCAGTATTCTACCCCAGAGAGGAAATGATTGACAAAGGCTACATGACCTCTGGCTACATGAAAATGCAAATGGTAGTAGCTCATGGCGGGCGTTGTGCTGAACGTATGGTATTTGGTGATGATATTTCTGATGGAGGAAGCGACGATTTGGAAAAGATCACAAAGGTATAATGGCATAACAATATACCATATGCAAACAACAAACCCAATAAAATCCCACAAAGTAAACACAATGTAAACATAGTAGCGTGAAAAATATACATGACTTCCTACTCATCTTCCATTAATATCTTCAGATTGCTCGAGAAATGGTCATTAGTCCTAGCAACTCTAGGTTGGGGCTTACTGCATTGACAAGGAAAGTAGGGCTCGCAGATCGACCGGATGATCCTGATGGTGAGATAATAAAATATAAGGTATTTAACATATGTTGTCTGGCATCTTCAGCTTGTCATTTTTTTTTAAAGTTTTCTAAATTAGTGAAATTAATGGCGTAATTTGTTTGCATGATTTTTATGAATCACCAGCCAACAACATACATACATTATTAACCTTCTCCTTTTTCGGCCTTGCAGTGGGATGATCCGTATGTGATCCCTGTAAATATGACAGTTGAAGTATCTGAGCTATTCACTAGAGAGTTGACAAGGGTGATTTTAAATGGCCTTCTAATGCTCATTTTATTACACCATGAAAGAGATTTAAAATTTTGCTTCATACTGTATAATATTGGCACAAGAACTACTTGTCCAATGAGGTTTTACCTTCATTGATAACTCATACAGATCTCATTCTACTTCAAAAAATTTCTTTTACATATGGTAGTATGGTACCTTTTTATGCAGCTGCTATGAAGTTGTAGTTCCAACCTTATTTTAAACTCTTAAAGTACCAACCATGGAAAAGCCTCATATATATATTCTTTAGAAAACGTTTTTTTTTTTTAACACCAAGGTTCTATTCAGTGGAATTCACATTTGGTGTTTTATTTTGGTAACAGTACATTGAAGAGACAGAAGAGCTTGCGATGAAGGGATTGATGGCCAACCAGCATGTGCTTGATGTAATTGTGAACGAGCTTCTGGAGCACTCAAGAATTACAGGATTGGTATGATATTATCTGCTTCTTTTTTTTGTTTGGCTCTCTACTTCCGAGTAGGGGTAAGTAAGGGAAGGGACTTGGCTCGTACCTCCATTTCATTAACACTATGTTTGGTTCCAAGAATTAGGAAGGAAAAGAAAAGAAAATGACTTCGTCTCATTATCCTCACCAAAATGGGAGGAATTCTATTTTCCCTCTTCTTAGTTTATTAGCCTTCTCGTTTTCTTTTCTTCTCTAAACGAACAAGAAAACATGTTTTCCATCTTGTTTTCTTTTCCGCTCCTTTCAAATTCCTTGAACCAAACATAGTGTAAATATAAATACCTCCATGCTCGTGCAAAGGAAGGGGTAGTGCTTACTATTGATGCATTTGAGTGGGGTCCGCTCGGAACACGGAACATATCTTTTAGGGCTGCTTTAGTAAGAAATGTGTGTTGGTTTCCCAGGAAGTGGAAGAGAAAATGAAAGGGTTATCGCCGGTGATGTTTGAAGATTTTATGAAGCCTTATCGAGTAAACTTGGAAGAGGTGTGATATTCTTCTTCTTCAACCTCTTTTCTTATATAAATATTACTCCCCCAACCCCAATGAAAAGAGTCCACTTTGACAAGTTCTTAAACTTTTTGAATAGAGCACTAACACTATGTTTGGTTCAAGGAATTTGAAAGGGAAAAGAAAAGAAAGTGAAGTGGAAAATCATTTTTCTTGTTTGGTTAAAGGGGAAAAGAAAGGAAAAGTGGAAGGAAAAGAAAATGAGGAGGCAAAATGTATCAAGTGGAGGGAAAATCAAATTCCTTCCATTTTGGTGAGGAAAATGAGAGAAAACCATTTTCTTTTCTTTTCCTTCCAAAATCCTTGAGCCAAACATAGTGTAAAGAAATCTACCTAAATAGTGAGTGAAACATCGAGAACTTAAACCAAAATAAGGATCCCATAAATACAAGTGTTGCCACTATGAAACACCCATAGTTTGGCATTGTATGATGGGATTTCACATTGTTTTTTGGCATTATAATTTTATTCAAGTCCTATATTGGTATAAAAAGATTGAAGTTTCTATTTTGGTATATAGACGCCATGTTTTAGTACGTCCTAATTAGATATCCTAACCGTGTTTTCAGGAAGGACCGTTGCCTCATAATGACCGCCTGAGTTATCAACCGCTTGATGTCTATCCTGCACCCCTTCACCGATGCTAATAACATCATTCACTTCTCTAATGAATTTTTGGCGGTACCATCTCTCTCTCTCTCTCTAGTTCATCATCTTCATTAGTTATTCGTATTTACTTGAATACCAAAAAAAAATGGTTACCTAGACTGATTCTGGTGTTTGTTTTTTCCCATGTTTGTTGGAGGTGTCCAGACAAAAGCTAATCAAGGCACTGTTTTTTCCTATACAACAAATAGTTTAGGTGATTGAGCAAAGGGTAGTTTGGTTTTAGCTTTCACCTGGGTTGAGATTGATGTAGTTTATTGGGTCATTATGCAAGAATTCTTATTGTTTAGAAAAAAAAACAAGACTGAAATAAGTGTCCTGTTACTTATAATTGAGGTTGCTGTATGTTTTGTATAATTGTAATGAACATTATGTGGCTTTTGAATGTGAAAATAAATATTGTATCTTTTGCAAATGAAGGATGTAGAAGTAGAATTTAAAAAAATGCCAAACATGGTGGAAAATGATTCTTGTGAGAGGAAAATTAGAAGACACAAAACTGTTTCCAAATATAGAAAGTGGAACCTTTTTTTTAGATAAACGAAAAAAGAAATGTGAAACCTTTTTTAATCCTTTATATATATTATTTGAGACTCGGGCTCACAGAATGTCGACATGTGGCGGGTCTACTTGGCAAGTTTTTTATGAGTCATCCGCCACCTTTGAAGAGTTTAATGACTTGGCACTTTTATATTAAAATATAGAAAGATCCAATTCTAATTAACATGCCTAATATATACGGAGTACCTTATACGGCGACTAGAATATAATTACGAAGTAGAAAAATAAGAAGATAATTAGGATGAGTATTTCTTTGGTGCACCTTGAGTGCATATCATTTTTGTGGAGCTTCTCACATAAAATATATGTTTTTTAATTTTTTAGTTATAAAAACAAATGCTTATTTTAGTAATAAAAAAATACTTATTTTGCTCAAATGTATGTCTATGGTACACCTTAAGTCCACCATAGAATTTGTCGAGAATCATTAATATGTTTAAAACGAAATTCATAGATTGAAATAAGAATTTCAATGCGTTAAACCAACGATAATATATAATTTTAGAAATATTGAAGATATTTTTTGAAAAAAATGCCTACGCAATGTTGACTACTTAAGTAAATTGTTTTTGGGAAGCCTAATATAAATAAAGAACCTTAGATATTTGAAGAAAATTATACTACATCCATCCCATAAAATTTTTCAAATAAAAGAAAGGCGATCCATAAAACTTTTCAAATTAGAAAAAAGACGCACCCTAAAATCATTTATCCTACACATCATACCTTATTACCTTATTATAAAGTAAAGGAAAAATTTCAAAATAATATCAAAATTATACTCCCTCCGTCCCAAAAAGTTTGTTACGTTTAGAAAAAACTGCGTCCCGTAAAGTCTGTTACATTTCTATTAAAAAACCACTTTTACCCCTTACTTTTTCATACCCTACCTATCACATCATACCTTTTTCCTAATAATCTACCCATCACATCCTACTTTTACCCATCACATGAAGGGTACTTTTGGAAAGTCAATGCCAAAATATCACTCCCTTAATTTTCCAAAAAGTCAAACCGTCCCATTCTTTTTGGGACGGAGGGAGTATATTTTTAAAGGAGTTCAGTGTTATGTCATTTGCAGATGATAGTCTTCTTAATAGATTTCAAAATAATTTCTTGATTGAGAACTTGAACTATGACAAAGAAAAATTGTCATTTGATTTTAGAGGATATTTATCTACGATGAATAAAGATCAAAGAAAGATATCTGATGTGATAATCGAAATCTAATATCTAAAAGAGGAGGTTTCTTTTTTATATATGGTTACGGGAGACTACTTGGGAAAACATTTATATAGAAACCAATGTCTACTACTCAAGAACGAATGGTATGTAAGGCTGCTTTGAATGTTGCATCCAGTGACATTGTAGCATTGCTTTTGCATGGTGGAAGGATAGCACACTCGAGATTCTCAATCTCTCTCGCTTTAACTGAGTGCTCAATGTGTGCTATAAAACAAGGGGGGTCCGAAAGCAGAATTAATCTAACAAGCAAGTGGAATCATATGAGATGAAGCATGTGTGATGAATAGATTTGTTTTTGAGGTATTGGATCACACAATGAGAGAGATATTGGGGTTCTACAATAATAACTCTAGAAATGAACCATTCAGAGGAAAAATATTAGTACTCGGAAGTGATTTTTGCCACTTCCTTCCAATTTTACCAAAGCTTCAAGAGAGAAAATTATAGGTGCTACCGTGATTTCCCCAAAATAGAGGTTGTATTGTAAAGTTTTTATGTTGAGCAAGAATAAGATATTGCATTCATCTATGTCCTCTTACCTAGGTAGGGATACACAAGCTTTTTCTGATTGGATAATCAAAATTGGAGATGGAAAGCTTGGTCAAGTGATTGGTGGAATTGCTGACGTTGAAATTCTGACTGGATTCTTGATTCTTGACATAAATTATCCTCTCAAGAGTATATTACTGGAATTCACTTATCTGAAGTTATTGGAGAATATGAAAAAATATTCTTTTTTAAGATTATGCACCATTAGCACCCACTCTCGAAGTTAATGAAATAGTAAATGAGTTTGTCTTATTCCTCATTCTCAGTGATGAAAAAGGAGTAATTGAGTTATGATTCTAAATGGCAAGCAGATGCCAATATAGGTGTTGATGCTTATTGGATAACATTTGAATTTTTGAATGAAATCAAATGTCCAGATGTTCGGGGATCCCAAACCAATTCAAAAAATAGTTTTGAAAAAAAGGGTACTGATTATGTTATTTGGATTGTATAATGGTACAAGATTAATTGTTGAAGAGGTACGAAAAAATGTTAACCATGCAATCGTGGTTTCGAGAAATCGAGACGGAGAAAAGGTTTACATACCTCGAATAAATTTGGTACCATATGATCCAAGACGATTCCCAATAGTTTTATGTTTTGCTATGACTATTAACAAAAGTTATGGTGAAACATTATCTTTTGTTAGATTATTTTAACTAAGTCAGTATTCACTTATGATTAATTTTATGTTGTTGCTTCACGAATGAAGAAAAATACATAATTAAAAATGTTTATTTTAGATGACAATAAAAACTCTTTCAACCATACCAAAAATATTTTTTACTCTGAAGTGTTTCAAAAAATTTGGATTTTAATAAGTCTTTGTTTTGCATATACTTTCAATTATTCAAATTTTATTTATTCTATTTTGATGTTGATGTATATATAGTATTAAAAATCATGTAATAAATTTATTTTATTTAATCCACAAAAAATAATACATGAAAAAAAAGAATTGAAAAAAATTTTGTTCGACCCCGTGCATGGCACGGGTCAAAATACTAGTTATAGAATACAGCTGAGTTTATTTTTTCGAGACATAAAATACTCCGTGTGAATTGATGTTCGTTTATTTCAGATCATTGTCTACATCATTAAGTATTTTACATCAATTTTCTAGCCTTTAATTTACAAAGTGTACCATAACACTTCGTGACTTGTGAGAGAAAAAAACTACTCCATCCGATGTTTTTCTTCCCCCTTTTTTTAAATCAATGTTTAAACCTTTAGCCACAATATACAAAGAAAATGTATTACATTAGACCAGCCATCTAAACTTTTCTTTGCCTGGATGAAGAAGAGGAACTTGATGAATTACATCTAAACTTTTTTTTTGCCTGGTAAAGTTGATAGTTTCTACTCCCTAAGGCTATGGGGCGTGCCCTCTCCCTCCCCCTTTTCTCCTTCTTCCAACTCAGCGTCACGTTAACTTTTGTCTTTCTTTTCCTTTCCTTTCCCCTTTCAGGGAAATGCCTTCCCCTTTCGCCCTTCACTTTTTATTTTTATTTTATAGAATTTATTTTAATTTATATAATTAAACTGAAAATACAAAAACAATAAAAAATAACTTCAAATATTTAAAGTTATACATTTTAATTAAATTAATGTAATAGCAAAATTGATACATTAAAGTAATTGAGACGCAATAAAAAATAACTTCGAAACCTGATCATCTGATACAATTGATGGAGAAAAATTCCACAAATGCTCTACCAAATCGGCCCGTAGGTGGAGGTTCGTATTCGACTTTAATTTTTACTGTTATTTTTTAATACTTACTTTAATAATAATATATTTAAACTAAAAACATAAAAATGAAAAAAAATTACTAGTCAACTTTTAATATTATTTTTAAATACTTAATTTAATTTAAATAATTAAAATAAATATATAAGATACATTTAAATATTGAAAACTTACAAAACTCAAAATAAAAAAAGAAATAAAAAACTAAAAAACTACTCTCTCCATCCCATAAAACCTTTCTTCTTTCTTTTTTTATTCGTCCCACAAAACACTTCTCATTTCTATTAAAAAGTCATTTTTACCCTTTACTTTTTCATACCCTAACTATCACATCATACCTTTTTACTAATAATCTATCCATCAAATCATACTTTTACTCATTACATCAAATGACATTTTTGGAAATTCAATACAAAAATACACTCCCCTTAAATCCCTCCTAAAAAACAAAACTCCCATGTTTTACGGGACGGAGGGAGTAAAAACTTACAAAAATCAAAATTAAAAACTGAAAAACAATTAAAAACTAAAAAAGAAGCAACAAAAAATGCATAAAAATCGGACCGGAAAACAAGGAGGGGCTGCTGGCCTGCATGCCACCTCAGCTTCATGTCACCTTCCCTTCCTGCACACCCCACAACTCAACCTCCCCACACAAAAAAAAAAAAAAAAAACTCCTTACCGAATAGGAATTATACATTTTACCTAGGTCACTTTTGGCTGAGGTAAAAAAGATTTTCTTCTTTATATCCCCGATCCATATTCCACAATGTCTTTTGGCATCATGTTTCAATGAATGTCGTACAGAAGGAAAGCTCACGTGCGGCTCTCCCACACCGTGTTTGCAACAGCCACTTTTTCTTCTTAATAAATGGCATGCACAATCAGGTCATTGTTTGGTTACCGGCCGTTAGCTGGTTCTATATAAAAATTTGGTGAGACTACAGAGATAAAAGAAAGTTGAAGAGTTGTTTTGGAAACAATATTTTGAAGTATTCTATTATCTTTGTAGTCTTGCCAAGTTATTCATATAAAACAATCTTTTTTTTTGTTCGTCACTAGGTGGATTTTCTATAGTCATGCCTAAGGTTGTAAAATAAATGAATAATTTTGATTTGATTCATCATTTGTATTCGAAATTAATGATTTATATTTGAAAAAATGAATACGAATAAGAATATAATTTTTTTTGAATTCGAAAGAAAACAAATATGAATGTATTTGTATTCGACTCGATATGTAAACGAATGCATTCGGATTTAAATACAATATAAAAATTTGTACACAATATACCCGCTTCATAATAAATAAAGCACATAATATACAGAGTATTTGATAATAAATATAGAGCATGCATAATATACATCAGCAAGGTTTGCATGCACACACATCCTCCTCAAATCATACTCTCGTAGGTAGTTGTTGTTGTTGTTGTTGTTGTTGTTGTTTTGGACATGCCAATTTTAGTACAAAATACTCCCTTCGTGAACTAAAATGTTTTCTCTTTCATTTTTTGTTTCACCAAAATACTCCCACTTTCTATTAAAAACTTATTTTTACCCTATTAATATATATCTACCTATTACATCATATATTTTCACTAATAGCCTACCTATCACATTTTTTGCAAAAACCTACCTATAACATCTTATTTTTAATCATCATGTCAAAGATATAATTGAAAGAACAACTACAAATATACACTCTCTATTTTTATCATTAGTCAAAATAAAATTAAAACTGTTTTGATGAACATATGGAGTATATGATTAATTTGTGGTGTAATAATTTTGAAGCTATAAAGCTTTGAAAAATTTAATATTTGTATTTTATAATAACAAAATATGATTATGAATCGAATATTTGAATTTAGTATTGAATATAAATAGTATTGATTATTCAAATAAAAAACGAATCTGAACATGAATGATGATATCATTTTTCAAATATGAATAAAATTTTATAATATTCGATTCGTTCGTTTTACAATTCTAGTCATGCCCAATTTTGTTTCATCCAACGTCCGCTCAAGTAAGATCAAACTACTCCCTCCGTTCTCAAAAACACTTCCTCTTTCATTTTTTCCACTTCCAACAAAACACTTCCCTTTTCTATTAAAAAACCACTTTTACCCTTACTTTTTCATACTCTACCTATCACATCATACTTTTTCTCTAATAATCTATCCATCACATCTTACTTTTACCTATCACATCAGGGGCAAAATTGGAAATCAATGAAATATAAACTTTATAATGTCAATAATATAGAAGAACACATTATCTAGTCTTTATCTATTTTTGAAAATATGAGTATTGTTTTTACTATTTATGTATTTATTAGACATTCACTCTAAACTTTTAATAAAAATAGAAATTCAAGTATTAAATTTTATATTCACAATGATATTAATTGAAAATATCTAATAATATACATATATAAATAAATATATTAATTATATTTGACCGGTTCGTTGACTCCCGGTTCGACCGATTAACCCTTGACCCACACCCTCGTCCGGGTCGACGGCCGGTCCGGTTTTCAGAACATTGGTTTAAACCGCGCGCACAACAAGAAGTGTTCGCCCGGTTGTTTCTACATGATATTAAAGTACGAGTTCTAGTCACCGGAAAGATTGAAAATATATAATAATATGTCAATATTATATCTATGTGCTCACTTCTTCTGGTGACCAGAACCCTTAATATGATTTCAAGTGCATTCTCAGCCATTTACATATTTTTTTTAAATTACTACCTTTTTAACCCTGGGAACTTTTTTCAATAATACATTTTCTCATTTTTATATTTTTGAAAACTAAAGAAATATGTTTTCAATGTCATTTATAATTGTACATACATCGACATCTAATATTAAATGATTGGTAGGCATTTATTCCTAAACTATATCCCATGTTTCGGTTTACAATGTTTGACTAAAGTTATTTTCAATTCATTTTATTTGAGAATTGATGTGAAATTTAGAAATAAAAATTAAGCATTTAAAGTCTACATAAAAACTCTACGAAACAATATGTGACATGGTTATACTATTTTATCAAATGAGTAACGAGAATAAATTAAGAAAGTGAATGAAGTTTCGACCATCTGAATAGTAAACGAACAATTTAAATTGGGACGGAGGAAGTAACATTTAGCAATTGTCTCTAGTGTATATTTTTGTGCCTAAAAATACGTATCAAAGAAATAATTTCTAATGAATCTATTTTTAATCAAGTTTTGAGTAATATTTCATAATTTATTCAGTGAAACGAAAAATATTATTATTATTAATATTATTACACGCATTTTCTTCATTTAAATAATTTCCGAAGAAAATGTAAATTCAGTTTTCATCTAGCGGGGAGGACGGGAGCGGAGGAGAGTCAGAGTTTACTTGCGGTGGTGGGAGGAGGAGGGATGCCAACGGGCGCGTCTCTTGATCTTTTCATACTGTTAGCGCCAACACACAAAAAAAAAAGGAAAAAAAAATCCATTATGTTGAAGAAAACGAACAGCAAAAATTCATATTTCGTTTAATCAACTAATTAACTCGATCTCCCACATTGCCTTTTCAACGATCAGTTATTTGGTTTAAATGGTGCGCGCAACAAGGAGTGTTCACCTAGTTGTTTCTACTTGATATGAAAATATGAGTTATGGTTACTGGAAAGGTTGAAAATATACAATAATATGTCAATATTACTAGCTTTTTATCTCGAGAAACTTAATACCTTTCCTCATTTTTTATATTTTTGAAAACTCAAGACATAGGTTTTCAATCTCATTTTTAATTGTACATACATGGACATCTAATATTAAATTATTGGTAGGCACTTACTCTCAACCACCCAAACCCGCATAAATCGAATCCATGGGTCAGCGAATCATATTGTCATTAGATTGACATCCAAACACAATAATTTTCAAAAAAAAAAAAAAAATTCAAAGCCTGCGAGTGGTTTTTCCTTTCAATGATCCGCGGCAAATTTACAAAACCTGGTTACTACTTATGATGCTTGTCGACGATGGAGAACTTGGATGGAAAACGGTGCTCCGGTCCAAAAAAAAAAAAAAGTTTCAAAGCTTCGGATGGGAAACGTCGCCACGAGTCACCTGATTTGGCTAGTCGATCTGGCTGGTCTGGACGAATTTTTTTAAAATGATTTCGGAGCGCATTTTGTGGATATAGACCAAAAGAGATTCATGATTTTTACTACTAATTAAATTTTGACAAATACATACTTTTGTTCATGTTTCTACACGCATATATATATATATATATATATATATATATATGTTTTACATTCTTAGTGTATATTTTTTGTGCCTAAAAATTACGTATCAATGAAATAATTCTAATTATTAATCAAATAAAAAAGAGTAATTATCACTTTATTATCACAAGAACCACGTACGCCCTATATATATCTCTAATTTTGAGTAGTATTCATATATCCCACTCATCCGATACTTTATTATCACTTGCATTTTTATTCAGTGAAACGAAAAATATTATTATTATTATAACACGCATTTAAATAATTTCCGAAGAAAATGCATGGCAAGTAATTTCGATCATCTATCTATCTATCTATCTATCTAGTGGCCGGCCGGGGAGGACGGGAGCGGAGGAGAGTGAGTCAGAGTTTACTAGGGATGCCAACGGGCGCGTCTCTGGATCTTTTCTCCACCGTCCGGGAGAGCTGCTTGACCGCATCTTTAGGGAGGTGCCGTGGCTGACTCAGCCAGAGTCCTCCATCCACTATCATCGTTGTCCCGTTCACATATTTCCCTATTATTATATCCAACAACAACAACAACAAGCACAACAACATCATCATCATATTGTTGTTTAGTTTGTTACCCCGGCCACATCATCATCATTAGTTATTAGATCTATATATGTATAACAACAGACAGACAGACACACAACATTTGAGAGTTCAGTTGTGGAAGAATAAAAAAACGAGTGGCCGCGCGCCGGCAAAGAGTTTCTCTCACGTACTGCTTACTTACCAGCATGGGAGGCAAGGTAGAGAGCCGCCATGGCAATATCCCATTTCTCCCCAACTCTATACAGAGGCCCCCGGTGCATCATCCCGCCCTCCTTTGTTGTTATCTCTTGAGGCACAAGTTTCCTCATCCCAGTGGTGTCCCCTATGGGACCCGGCGCTATCCCATTCACCCTCACCTCATAGTCTGTGCCCCATTCCAGTGCCAGATTCCTGGTCAACGCATCAACCGCAGCCTGTGTGTAATGTAATGTCATGTCATGTTCTGGCCGGATGATTATAGACATATTTTAGAACGAATATGGTTTGCCCGAACAATATAATTTCTGGAAGAATAACAAGCACTCGAAAACCGTCATGGAAAATTTATTTTGTTTGGGGGAAAAAGCCCTTTTCCATGGAAATACATTGTATGTACTTCTGTACCAAACACTCCCATACCGAGCAATATAGTACTCCCTCCATCCCCTAGCTAGAACAACTTCATACTTTTCTTTTTTAGTGGTTTCAAAAAGTTTCCATTCCATTTAAGAAAAGAAATGAGGCGGTTCCAATGTCTCTCTCCCCACTGCATAAAATTACATCATACAACTTCACTTAATAGTGAACTCCATGAGAAAGAAAACGAGATCTTTTAGGAACAAAAAGATAGTATAATATATATAGAAGCGGAAAAAAGGCAAGGGAAAGAGAAAAACAGTATCCCACCTTAGCTGCAGCTACGTGTATCTGATAAAAAGTGGCTGTGTAATGCAAAGTGGCACTAATGTTTAGTATTAATCCACCTGAAGAAGAAGAAGAAGAAGAAGAAGAAGAATCTGATGACGCGTTATTACTACTACTCCCCCGTCCGGGACCTCCTCTCTTTAGATACTTAATGGCTTCGTGACACATTGTGAATGTGCCCACTGCATCAATATCCAACACTGCATATATGCACCACCATGTAGTGTAAATGTACAGAAATAGCAACAACAAACCCAGTAAAATTCCACAAAAAGGATGGTCTAGGGCATGTTGTGTAAATGCCATTTTGATTGTTCATAAATGGAGAATATACTGTATGTATAGAACAACAAAAGTGAGTTTTTCCAAATGGAATAATTAAGAAAAAGAGAAGGAAATTAAAGAAAAACTAGTTACCGGTTCGGAAGCCATTGGGAGACAAGTCCTCTGGGGAAGCAAGAAAATTGCCAGCAGCAGCATTGACCAGAATGTCCAGCTTCCCAAAATGTGTCACTGTCGACTCCACAACTCTCTTTGCATCTTCCGCTACTCTCACATCTCCTTGAAACCCAACAGCCTGATCATTGATGATGGAGCCCATTATTGTTTCCGTGTATATTTTGATTGGGTAAATGCTAACCATTGCAGATTTTAACTATGGAGTACTTTGAAAAAGAAAAAAAAAAGCTCCCACAAGACAATATGATCATAACAATTCAAACTTCGCAACCAATATCACTCGATCTTAAGAAAATGGTTACGGTCAACATGATCCTCTATTTCATTTAACTATTAGTATCACTCGGTCGGGGTCGGCAACATGGAAACACCAAATTTTCTCAGTTTTACAAAGTATTTGGGTTCCTCCAAGTACTCAAAATATAACGGAAACATTTCGGGGACGGGATTACAGGAAGGGGCAATTGAAGAATTCGTGCAACATCACTGGCCATAGCATATAAGACTAAATTTTTTGAAATGAATCTAATTTTATTAAGTTTATAATTTAACAACAGAATGTAACTTTAACATAAACTGTGGTCGAATTTTGGGAGGGAGAGAAGGCAATGACTATCCAGATCCCAATAATTATACTCTGCAATACATACGCAAATAAAGTGGGGTAAAATAAGAAAGAGAGAGAATAGCAATAAGAATAGTAAGAATGAATTGGAGTGTGTGAGGAGGGAGGAAGTTACGGGGATTCCGAGGGACCGAAGAGAAGAAACGGCGGATTGGACGACGGAGGAGCGGCGGCCCATGATGGAGATGGAGGCACCATGCTTGCCAAACTGAGTGGCGATCTCGAATCCGATGCCGGAGCCGCCGCCGGTCAGGAGCGCAACTTGTCCCCGGAGGATATCCGACCTAAAGGGTGACGCCGCCGCCGCCGATTCCATAACAACTACTCCGGTGCGGGTCAAGACTTGATTTTTTTTTTCCAAATGAGATTCTTTTATTGAATCGCCTCGATCTCCCACATTGATTTACCAACAACCTATTTTCCTCTTATTATATGGCCAGCTAAGTCATCGGTTCGTCTGCTTGGGACCGCTGGGTGTATCAAATTGATGTTCATTGAGGAATTATGGAAAGAAGGGTTACTTAAGATTGTTAATTAAGAATTAATTAATATTATAATTAAGTCTTCTTTCCGTACTTCCTCCGTGAGTCAAATTAAAAAAATTTGGGCTTCAATTCACATAATGAAACTAAATTTGAATTTTTTAATAAATCTAATAAAAACATTTTTATACTAATATATATTATAATTTTTGTTTAATTAAATCATAAAGTTTATCAATTTGACTTGAAGACCGTCAAACGTGACAAATACACTGCGATGGAGTGAGTATTTTCTTTCACTATTACGGAGTATATCTTTAAACAATGAATAAAATTTTATTTCGATAAGATCTATAAATATGCAGATGTCGACATTTATAAGTCAAGTTGAAATTTTTTTGAAAATCAACTAATTTTAATTTGTATTGTATATTGATACAATGAAATAAATTTTTGAAAGTTCTTAACAAGATAAATCTAATAGAACTATTTATATTCTAATCTACATTATAATCTTAATTTATTTAAACTTTAAAGTTTATTCAATTTGAATTGAAAAAGGTTAAACTAAACAAATACACTAGAATGAAGTGAGTATTTTCTTTCATTATTACGGAGTATATCTTTAAACAATGAATAAAATCTTATTTGTATAAGATCTATAAGTCTACACTTGTCGACATTTATAAAAGTCGTGAATTCTTAATGTTAGGTCCATGTATCATCTTATTAGTTATTTCTTGTAAATTCTATTAGTATTATTTCTTGACAAAGGAATTTTTTGTGTGTTTTAGTTTGTTAGGTGTTTTAGTTTTATAGCATTCTAACATCATATACGTTCGTCATTCATTCTCGTCGCCGTGTCACTTTGCTTTGGAGAAGAACCATACTTTTACAAGGAATTTTGTCCGAATGGAAGAAACTTAATGCGATAGAGTTTATCTCATTTAAGTGAAGATATTTTATCTGATAACCTAGAGCCTTATTGTGACTATACAAGGATTAATTACGCAAGGAATTTCTAAATCATTTGGCATGATTGCTCAACCTTTGTTCTACCCTAGAACAATAATGTTGATGAGAGTAGCAAAACCCAAATCATACATTTTTCTGTATTCATATGATCTAAAAGTTGAATACAATATTATTCTGAAAAAAGCGCTACAAGCACGTCTTAGAAATGGTCTTAAAAGTGAGGTGTAAGATGTCATTTTAGTCATTCAAATAGACTTGCGCGGTAAGCTTTTGTCAATAATTTTAGAAAAGATATTTTATACTCCACGTTTTGATTGGTGTAATCCATTACAAGATTTTTAAGAAGGATTGTTATATTAACGTAGGCCGTGCAAAGTAGCAAAATCTTTCCAAATTAAGACTAACCCCAATGCAATTGAGATTTAGGGGTTCTAAATGAAATTTAATAAGCAAATAAAAATGAAGAAACCAAGGTAAGCTTCGGTACGATTGTGTTTTTGGTATTCCTCTCCTATACTCTTTCTTCGTTTCACTCTCTTTCTTTATACGAATTATTCCTTCTGTCTTAAAACATTCTTTCCAATTACTATTTACACAGTCAAATTTTAATCAGCCTCTTTACCTACTTTCGTTAGTTATTTGATAAAATAACATAGTCTTATTATCTCTTGTTTTGTACAATTTTTCGATGTGATTCTTAAATATGTAAATTTTACACCTACAATTAAATAAATTATATTGAAAATAAAGTCTATCAAACCTCGTGAACAGAAACAAGAAGAATGTTTTCAGAAGGAAGGAGTAATATTTTAAGAAAGTGAACTAAATCTAAATTGAAGACGAGAGCATCAACACCGGCGGCAGAGGGATGTCCTTGCCAAGAACAACTTAGAAAGTGAACTAAATCTAAATTGAGAGAGTATAAGACCATGTTTGGAAACAACATTTTCGGTTAGCGTTTTAGATAAAATTTTAATTGTATAAATTAATTTTAAAAATTCTAAAGTTAAACGATGCCATAAGATATTATATCCTTTAATATAAATTTGAGAGTTAATGCCTTAGAATTTTGACATGTGGCAATTTTAGACCTTTATTATTTAGAAGGTTACACGCGTCGGCTTATCACGTCTTCCACTTCTTCGACTAAATCATCAAAACCTTTCCCAGAGAAAAAACTTTTGTCTCCGTCTGCCAGGTCCATCGCGTAGTTCGGGAGATTTTTCTCATCTCTTCACCGCATCTCTCCATCTCTTCTTCGCCAGGTCCATATGATCAAGATTACGAGAATCTTAAATTGGGATCAGAAGTTTTTGTGGCTTCAAAATTAGGTTTGTTTCCAAATTTCGAATTTTTTTTATTAAATTTGTGTTGTTCTTAATATATTTCCCAAAGAATTCCTTGCAAATCTTATATTTCAATCCGATTCACCATATTTCACACTCTGATAAATTGGGAATCACTTCAGATCTAAAAAATTAGGTTTCAAATCCCATTTGTTTCAAAGTAAAGGTCTATGTGAATTTACGGTTCAAATATGTTAAGGATTTTTCGGAAATTAGCATCACATCATCAGTATTATTCTCCCTATAAATAAAGATTTAGATTTATAATTGAGATTCAAGATGTATGTTTTGAATTTCATATTTAATTGTTATTCATCCCTAATTTAATTGTGCATATTCAATTCATATTGTTCCTTAATATACATAATTAGCTATATATGGTTTGCTCCATAAACTCATATGCAATTTTAGAATCTCTCTTTGCATTCTTCATCAATTCGAGCATTTCTTATTTGTGTGTTAATTCAAGTATGTTGTTTAAAAAAATAAAGTTTGTTTATCTTCCTTCGCACAGAAGCATAGGAAAAAATGGCGAGTTCAAGAGCGCCAAAGGCTAAATAAAAAGTAAAAAATTTAGAGGATACTGTATACAAAAGAGTGCTCAGCCTTTTTTTATTTACAAAAAGAGGTATTCTAGTTTGATTTCTTGCCTTCAGGCTGCTCCTTCCTCATCACCGCGAAGTCAGATTTACCATTCTGTCCTTCATCCTCTTTCTTCAATTTCCCAATTTTGTTTTTTGCTTGATGATTGAGATGGGTTTTTCCTTTTTTTTATCCTCAACAAACATAATGTCTAAAAGTCATTGGTTCCACAAACCCATTAATTAATTGTTTTGGTCAGTGTTTCAATTTCTGGTTTGAGTTGAAAATAGGGATAATTATAATACCCATTTAGTTCAAAATTAGAAGTAACCATTTAGAACTGATTAATTGTATCTATTTGGTGTTCAAACATCTTTTTTGAAGGACAGCTGTATTGTGTTATTGTTTTAAAAGAAAAATCATGTGTTTGATCAAATTTATGATTACAATACGGAGTTATTTACATTCATTCCTTCCACCATACTTTTATTCCATATTTTTCGCAAGTTTACGACCTAAAATATCCATCCCCTTTTGAAAATTACCCTGATCAGTGAGTGTGAGGGTTAAAGCAATATGACTATTAGTTCAATCAAGAAATTCTATATGGATGAGTTTGTAAGTTGAAATTTTCTTTGGTGTGGTCTCTTTTTGTGGTGTTCATTTCCTGGTGAATCAATTTATTCTCTTTAATATGTATATTGTTACGAGTGTATGAAAGTTACCTCTATTTTTATTGAACTATGACGTTTAAATGATTTAAAGAACACTTTTTTGCTTATTGCAATTAAACTATGAGAGTATAAGGCTTGAATGATTTTTTAAAATCCAAACAAATCAGTGTTTTAGAAAAATGTTATTTGTTTAAATTGGACAACATCAAAATTGAGCATTTTTTTTATACATTTTCTCTAGGGAACAACTACGCATGCTTCTGCCCGTAGAAGGTTTGTTCACATTCTTCCAACCCTAAATAATAGAGGGTAATGTTTAAGTTATTTTTTACTAAAGTGAGTATGTTGTTATTTGCTTTCATATGAATTAGCATAATGTGTGTGTAATTGTTGTATAAGTAAATACTCCGGGTAAATCTTATATTTTGAGTAGTCTTTTCATTATATTTGGACAGTGAAATTAGTCATTAATTTTACCATTTTAATTTAGTTGGCTACAAGGGTTTTAAGCTAATGTTTACTACAGTGAATATGTTGTCTTTCATGTCCATATTGATTGGCATGATGTGTGTGTAGTTGATGAATATGCTATTATCCTTTAATATAAAATTTGAGAGTTCAAACTATAAGAAGCTGACATTTGGCATTCTCATAACCATCCAATTGGCACTTTTTTTAGGTTGTGTCCACGCGTCACTTCTTCCCCACTAATTCACCGAAAGCAACTTCCAAATTTAGGCAGAAACTGATTCACCAATGAGTCTCTTCTTCGCCGTCGCCAAAGGAAAGTATCAAAAACATACCCAAATTGAGATATCTATATCCCTCCCATGTCCCTCGATCTCTTCGGAATATCCAGGCGCCGCAATTCGTTCTCAATTGCACCAATTCTATTCAAATCTTTCCAAGATTGAAGTTGGTTTAATTTGGTAAGCTTTATATTTGGTAAATCTTGCTCAATTAGAAATCAGTTCTTCCAAATCGTGAGAAGATTCCTATGAATAGGTGGTCGATTATGTCAAAGATTTCTTTCAAATCGATACTAAGTACTGGAAGTTCTCTGGCTCAGAAAAACGAGAGTTTTGCTCTTGCCTCAGACTTCCTGCTACTGTCGATCCTAGAGTATTTAGCTGTTCTGACATTTTTATGGTTTATTCAGAGTTTTTTTTATTTATTTTCTTCTCTGATAGTTTTTTATCTACAAATATTTGCTACAGTTATCCTATGGATTAAATTCAAGAAATGTTAATTTGATGTTTTAAAAAAATTAGGTTATACTCCGTATTTGACAAGAAAATTGGAAGAAGCAGAAGATTTGAGTTTTTGACATTGCCTAGAGTGGAGGAAGCTGGAGTTGCTGTATAACAATTAAATGTGTATGTGAGCATCTTTCTCTTATACTATCCATTTTAGCATACATAACACTCAATGATGGCAATTTTATTTATGAGCATTTTGTTGAAAACATGCAGTGGTTTCATATTTCAGTTTTCATGAGTAATTTACTGAGTAGATAAAAGATTTTAGAAATATTTGTCGGTTGAACCAGAGGAATCATTGCCTATCTGAAGAAGGTAAGCTTTTTAGTGTGAGATTAGACTTTTGAGCAATCGGGGGTGTCATAATCAGTCTCTCACCATGAACCCATATCATTTTCAGGAGTTAATACAAATTTCCATTTACTGAAAATTGATATTGTTTTTTAGTTTGAACAGGAGAAAGGAGACTAGAGGTTGGTGCCATGGTTCTTGCTTATAGAGGTATTTTTTGTTAGGTAACACGATCCATGACCTTAGATGACTCTCCATCCAAGCAAAGCAGCATATCCCTAGAGTGTTTTTGGTATATGTGCAACTGTGCTATCATGTTTTGTTGCTGATTAAGGTTTCTCTATTCATATTTTTTCCTTTGTTCTATACATTCATTCTTGAAGGCCTTAGTGCTTTTAATTTATTATTTCCACATGTGTGCTTATTGCTAATTATTGTCCCGTATAACCGTATTGGACATGCAAGGTTGTGGGTCAATTGTAGGGTTTTGAATCTGAATTTTAGGATAAAATATTTGAATAAATTTAGTTATAAAATAGAGATCTTCATTTTTGAATAATATTCATTAATGATTGAATATTCTTTTCTTTCTTCATTTATAACAAAACTTTTAGTAAAACAAAATACGCCTAGACTATTGTTTTAAATGATTTACTATTTAAATTAAATAAATTAAAAGTTTGTCAAATGTAATTACAAATTTCCATTCAGAATTGTGAATTACGGAGAGAAACATTGAATTTATAATTTTTTAATTTAATGTTTTGAATCATAGAGTCGCTAATCCAAGATTTATTTGAATAATGCGGTAAAGTGGAAGCTTATCCTTTAATATAATATTTGAGAGTTGATAGCCTAAAATTTTGACACGTGGCAACCTAGGACTCTTATTTTGACGACACATTGGATGACACGCGTCTAAATATTGGAGAAGCTCTCCTTCGTCGAACAACTCCGAGCCGAATTAGGGATTCTTTCCCTACTTATTCTTCTCCGACTTCTTCGCGCAGAAAGTAGTAAATTTCTTGCAAATCTTCATGCTGAAAAGGAAACAAATATGATTCCTCGCTACATTGGGTCACGGAAGGAAAGAAATCACAGGTACTCCGATAGCATGAGGATTTTCTTCTTCGGTACACCAATTTTTCCCTAATTTTTACCCGAAATTAGGGTTGATTAATACCAATATGCTTTCTTCAATTGATTGAAAAAATTAAAATCGTGATTCATACCTAATTCATATTCATATACCCTAATTAGATTTGAGAAATCATATACCTAATTTATATTATATTAATAGATGTATTCTTTCTACCTATAATTCTATCTATATATACATTCTCCTCAAGAACAACCTAGAATTCCCGTTTTCTGAGATTCATATTCCTTTTTGTTTTTTCGTTCAATCCTTGACAATGACCATCCATCCACTGTCGAAGATCACTCCAAGCAGTGAATGTTGGAGGATAATGGTTCGTGTTGTACGATTATTGTATACTTTACCCGCTTATAATGATGGGAGGACTATAAATTCCATTGAAATGGTGTTCATGGATGAACATGTATGTCACCTTCTCTTGATTCATCATATTCCTTCTCATTTTTTTGTTATACATTATATTAGTTCTATTATTCTATATAGGTTTTTCCGTGTGGTATTACTGGCATGTTTTTAGTGTGGTTCTATTTGTTTTTTTTGGATTATAAGCCTGCCAGTGTGGCTTTTTTGATAGTGGCATTAGTGGCTTTTTTTTGTTTGTGGTTAAGAAAACAGAGTGGTTGTTAAGAAAACAGTGTGGTTGTATGCCTGAGGTGGGTTTACTGATTTCAATATACTTAAATTGTGGTTAAGAAACCAGTGTTAAGAAGACAGTGTTAAGAAAACAGTTTTACTGATTTCAAAGCATTGTTAAGAAAACAGTGTGGTTGTGTTTGTTAGTGGAGTTAGTGGCATTAGGTATTAAGAAACTGATTTAATCAGCTACTGTGGGTTTAGTGAGGTGTATGGACAGTTTAAGTATATTGATATCAGTAACTGTAACGGTTTAAGTCCTAAGCAGCCTGTTTGCATCCTTGAAGACAGCCTTGCTGCTGCCTGTTTACTTGGTTTATGATAAAGATGTTTTGTTCTTGCTTTTTTTGTTATTATTTTCAGATTTATATGTTGGATGCTTGCTGCTCCATAAATCATGTTCGGAGATGTGGAAATATTCTAAGGTATGGATAAATATGTGACAATAACAAATTATCTTACACCTGTTTTAAGTCCAGATTAAAATTCTTTGACCCATACCGAGCCATTCATTGTCGTGATGCGTTGAACTATTTTAGACCCTGTAGTTTTTAAAATCAACAGATGGAGATAATATTTATCTCCACTGTATCATAATTGGTCTCAAATAGTATGCTCTATCTGGCTTTATGTATCTTGATTTGTCATGGACTGATTTTTGAAGGAAGTATTATACATTCAAAAAATTATAACCCCTGTGAGTTTATGTATAGATAGCATTTATATGACTTATTTATGTTATAAAAAGATAATTTTTTAAATCAAAGACTACTTAAATAACTTGGTTTGAACTCATTGAGGCATGGTTTATTTTGCACTGCCTGAACCCTTCTGCTCTTGGTTTAGGAAAAACATCTGTGGTCATTGTGTTATTGTGGCATATGAAATCTGTGTTAAGAAACTGCATGCCTGAGGTGGGTTTATGGAGGTGTATGGACAACCTTTGTCCAGAGTGGGTTTAGTGAGGTGTATGGACAACCTTGGTATGGCCAAACTGATTTCAAACAACTCACTGATTTCAAGATAATGATTTCAAATGCCACTGATTTCAAAAAACTGATTTCATACACTACTGATTTCTACGTACAGGCCTGAACCATTGGGTTCGACTTTCTACCTGAAGCGTGACGCTGTAAACCGACAACCGACCCGACTGACTTTTAACAATTTAGTCCCATATCAATTGTTTAAAAACTTCACCTTTAACATCCTCAAGATGCATATGCTACTGATTTCTAAGCCCAAGCCTGGACCATCGGGTTCGACTTTCTACCCGAAGCCTGACGTTGTAAACCATTCAACCGACCCGACTGACTTTTAACAATTTAGTCCCATATCAGTTTTTTATGAACTTCACCCTAATTCTGACACACTTAATCAGTTTTTAGTGTTTATGAGATGCCTAATATTTATTTGAACAAAAGATTTATTAATTAGTGTGTGGTTCCGCTGATAATGACTCTTGATGTGAGAAAGAAATAATGACTCTTGATGTGAGAAAGAAGAATGGTTGCAATTGGTCTTAGTTTCGATGAGAAGACTAATTTTTATTTTAGCTTGGAATGTGTGTTTCAAGAAAATTGATTTCAAACCTTTGGGTTTTTTTTGCCCTTCAGTGTATGTTATGCTGAGAAAAAAACCAATTAAATATAACATTGGTTCCTGATTTTGGTGTACTTACTGACCGTTGTTTCAATTGCTCATACAGAACCTGCTGGGAGGAGACATACAACCGAGTGTATCATATCTTTTCAAAGTTGATGTTAGTCGTACACACCGCATTGAGTTTGATCCTTCCTATAATGTCATTTGACATTTGTTTTGATGAGAGAACCATCTCGCAATTCAAGGAAAGGAACTCAACGTTTTTCTTGGCCTAGGTTTGATTAAATTATTAATGGAATATAAATTTTCGAGACTCATATCTTTATTATGTATGATAAACACATTGCTTTTGGGATGCTAATAAAGATGTTGTTTTGGGAATTCCTATTAATAGACAGATGTGACTTTGGGACTTTCAACTGGGGAAAAATACTCGCAGCACACCTTCTCAATGGGCGAAGCATCATCACGTGTGAAGGTTAGGTCTCTAAAAAAATGCACGAATAAAATAAACTAACACCTTATATTTGCTTATTTTAACTCGTGCTTGGCATTGCATATGGGTAAGTGACAGGAATAGGTGTACACTAGCACCTTATATTTGCTTCTTTTAATAAAAAGTTTAGAGATGAATGCTATTGGTTTCAAGCAAGAGAATATAGGTGCTAGCAGTACTGTATAGAAAGGAAAAAAGGGGAAGCAAATATGTCTTATCCTTGAGGTTAGCAAGGCAAATTTGAAACAAGAAGAGGAAAAGCTATTGTATCAAGCAGTACTATTTATTCTGTTTAGACTTAATTCAAACTATGTTCGCACCATAGGTATTGTTTGTTAATGTGTCTTGCATTAAAGGATTGTTTTTTCTGTCATGCGGAATTTAATTGAAGATTTTGTGGAATCAAAGGATAATCACTTTGAACGTCTCGGAGATGATATCACATGCTCTACTATTGACAAAAGAATGAAAGAAGTTGAACATTGTGATAGAGACGGTGAAGAACCAAGCAAGAAGATGAAGACCGTTAAAATAGAGAAAAATTAATACTAGAATTAATATGTGACCTTGAGAGTATTGTTATTCTTTGTGTTATATTTATGACTTAGACATATTATAATTTATAATTCTTGGATTCTTTGTTGTTTGAATTTAAAAAAATTATAATTTGCTGGTATTTAGTGTTTTAAATAAGATTGCATGTTTGCACAATTTATATTCACAGGTGATATATTGATATGTCAACACCCATGTTAGCTTCTTTTGAGATTTTGATGTTTTTGGGTTTCACACACTTCCCTCTTTTTTGTTTCTGGGAATTTTATGCCTTTTGAGTGCTGCCTTCTTGATGTCTTGACTCTAATTATTTAATCCAGTTTTATGAATTAGGAAAACTGTGGGAAGGTGCAAATCAGTTGTGTTTTTGTAATTTGTTTGGGTGAGCAATGATGCTATAATTTAGCACTGATTTTTCCTGCTCTTGGAGTTTTTGCTCGCAACATAGCCATCCAACACCAACATTTCCTCATGTTTTCAGCTTCCTTTTTTTGTGAAGAAACTGGAAAAAGTAGTGTTGCTACACTTTTAGTCAAATTCACTTTTTGGACTTGGCAACTAAAGATTATGTCATTTGCTTAATTAATTTATTATTATGCACTCCGTATTTTAGTTTTTATAAGCAAATGATATAAAATGATACGTGATCAAATTCCAGTTCAACCATTCTTTATTATACATATTTTTTTTTAAATATTTTACTTTTCAAGATATATACAATGACCCCAAAACTCTCCTCATGCTCTCAGAAATTTGTAGATTCTTAATTATTTCTTGACTCACCCTCATAAAAAATGTGGAACTTCAACACTGGCTTTTTTAAGGTAAGTGTGGGGCTTAGCTCAACCATAGGAGTTGGTGTGTTTATTTAAAATCAACGAGTAACGTTATCTTACAAAAAATATTATGACTGTGATAATATCTTTCAGAACCGCAATGGTTTCAAATTCCAATATTTCTTAGCATTAGTACACCCATTAGGTTCAATGTTACCAAAAAAATAAGATACCACAATTTGAGAATACTTACTTCATCTTTTGGTGTGCCAAAACAAAAATTACTCCAATCTTTAAATTGTTTTATACTTTGATTAAACTTGATACTTTTTTAAAAATGTTTTCGCATATTATATAGAATGTGTATCTCGAAAAATCCCACAATGAATAATTGCTTAAAACTACTTTTTTGGGACTTTGAGATGTGAATAATTGTTTTGAAGAAAGGAGTACCAATTATGTTGTTAAGAAACATTGATCAAACATCTGGGTTGTGTAATGGTACAAGATTATTAGTTGAAGAGTTGCGAAGAAATGTTATCGGTGCAATTGTTGTATCGGGAAATAATGCCATTGAGAAAGTTTACATACCAAGAATGAATTTGGTACCGTGCGAATATATAAAATAGAGTATTTTGATTGCGGGAATGCCATGTGGCAGTCCACATGTATCTTTGTTGGCATGTTCCCTATGAGTAATCTATTAGTGATGTGGCTTTGTGATAGGGTGTATCTAAAAGAGCTTAGTAGGCATTCTTCTTCTTTCAACGTGTCATCAAGGTAAACCCTAGACCTTATTCTTTCAATATAATCCTGTTTCTTATTCCATTTCATAGTTACAATTTTATAATTATATTAAGTAGTAAGATGGAATGTTGACAACTATTGACTTCAATTTTGATAAATATTCTATTTTTCATTGATCTGTTCTTGATTCATATTGTGTTAAATTATAGAATTTCGGTTTATATATGTCAAAGATCCACAAATTTTCCATCATTCTTCAATTCTTGATTCATGTGGTGTTGACTTATAAGGATGAAGCAAAGAGGTACACAAACCAATTAGTTTAATACTGTACTCCCCGTTGGTTCTATGCTGCTCAAGTGTTGTTTTGACGCTGTGTCACCTGTTACCAGCCATTTTATCATGGCAAATCCTCTTTTCCTCCACCTCAATTATGTTTATAGTTCATTCTCATAATTGATGCCATTTTCATGTCTTATCATCTCATGTTACCTATTCAAGGTTAGAGTTAGTTCATTTTAAATTGAAATTATAGATTTTAAACACTTAGTATTAATTCTGATTTTACCTAGAGCTTATTGAAAGTATAGGCTAATGTTATTTATATTTTGGAGCGAGGCATATAAACTAACAATCAGTTTAGGATATGAAGTATTTCAATGCCATAATTCATGGTTCTTCAGCTACAAATTTAAAATAGTATTATAAAAAAGCAAGTGTCTCATTCTATGGCCATGGTATGAGTACAACTAAGTTATAAATTTATGAAGAATATATTATAATAAGATGAATGACAAGAATAATCAAATGTGAGAGAATGAATAGTGTAAAATCCTCTGTTGTGTTTTTAAGAATAATTGAGGTACTACTTAGTGCGCTATTTGCCTTTATGCAAGATTTGGATGAGATGAATATGGAGATAATGTGGAATACCGTGTACAAGCTACTCCTTGAGGCTGGCTTTTTTTCAAGTTTTGCCAGGTATCAACAAATTTGAATATTCAACATATCCATAAGTTGTACTAGCTTTTGAAAACTTTATCTCTTTTCACCTCATCTAATACAAAATATTCAAATAAAAACTGGATGGTGCCACTATAGAGATCATGTTTGGCTTGGCTTGCTTTTTTTAGGCTGACAGAAAAACTGTTCGTATTGCTATAAACTATGGACATTAGTGACCTGTTTAATATTGATTGACATAAGGTTTTGTTATGAGCTAGCCATCTGCTCTCCTCTTGGAGTCCAATTTTGTTTTCTTTATTAATATGCATATTAAAGAGGCGGCTTTAAAAAACTGAGTATTTTGCTATTTGTAGTCTGATTATATTTATTTGATTGCTTTTAAGAGTCTTCCATTCAAAGCTGCACAAAAGTCTTGGTGTCTCTGTTTCCTGATTGGTGATGAAGTTTAAGGTTATAGTTACAATTGCTGTTTGCTGCAGTTTGGTGGTGAAACCCACACTCACATTTTCACTTGCAATGGTTGGAAGCTAGCTAGATATAACTATTGCAGACTCAATCATTCTGATATTAAGGAATTGCCCCAATTTAATACAGTAACATAATTGACCAGTTAATCTCTAAAAGGTATACCTTCAGGCTTCACTTCAAAAAGGGTGCTGATCTGTGTAGTAGAATCACCTTGAATTCACCAAGGTTGGTGAAGAATATACCATGAAGGTTTGTGAGTAATTTTGAAGAACATTGATCTGGTTGGTATACACAGATAATTGTACTCATTTTGCTGCAGCATTTAGAATCATGATTAACAAGAGACATTGATCCATTCTTCTAATAAAAAGTTGCACTCATTTATCTTATAGTATATGAAGGTTAAAATCATTGCACTCTTCTCCCTCATGATGTAACATTCAAACTGTAGTAATATATTAAAATATTACAACTAAAAAACCCCAAGGACCATTACCCTCTTTATACTATGTACATACATTCCAAACACTGTTAAATTCAATAAGTACCCCATAATCCCCTTTCAAAAAAAGACTTATCATTTGTAATAGATACGTATTGAAAAATTGTTACTAGGTTTATGCATTATATAGCACTTGCAAATATGATTATTTCTACAAATACTACTCATTATGCGTCACAGTATTTATATACTTCGTTCACCTTATGTTCATTTTATTTTGGAGGTATTATGATTTTATAGCACCAAAATGGCAAAAACACATTTAGGGTATGTTTGAGAATAACGTTAGAGATTAGCGTTAGCGTTTTTGATAAATTTTTAATAGTGCAGGTTTTTTTTGAAATTACTAACGTTAAACGCTATCCTTAAACAATCTTTTCAAAATGCTAACGTCAATATCTAACGTTATTCTCAAATAGACCCTTACAAAACTTCATACAACACTTGCATGTAATCCAAGCCCGTGCGAAGCACGGGGTAAAAAACTAGTTTCTTTTAATGCTAATTGTAACATCTAACATTGTTGCCAAAGAGGCCCTAAGACATGAAAATAAACATTTGGCAGGCATTAAGTACTATCTAAAATACTTAGTACTAATAAGTACCCTGTATTATATTCTCATCATCTCATTGTGCTGCGAGTAGTACCAGCAGTAGATGGTCCCAAAAATAAGTTGCCATCGGTTCTTCCCAAGTCTTTGATATATATATATATATATATATATATATATATATATATATATATATATATATATATATATGCGGAGTATATATATCTTTCTCTTTAAAAAATAAAGTAAAAAAAGTTACACTGCTAGACATGGGGTGAGTTATGATGATGGCGGGGGCGGCTTGGGAGCTTTGGATGGAGGGGGGATGGTGGACAACAGAGCGCGTAAACGACTGGCAATCTCTGTGAATGAAGGTCTGGAGGAGGGGTTTGGAGCCCAACATTCTTCCATCAAGTTTCTCCACTCTGGGTCGCACTGGCTTGGGATGCCCGGCCTCAGCGTGTTGCTCACTATCCCACCTGCAACCAACCACACGCGTTCATTTCCTCACACAGTCGCGCACACAAAGGGGTGTGTTTTGTTACAGTGTTTACAGTGATGGGAGGCTAAGTTACCTATGATTGCGCCGTAGTGCATGTTGGCATAAGGCTCCTCTCCCGTGAGAATCTCCCATAACACAATCCCAAAGGAGAACACATCAACCTGTTTCCAAAAACCAAAACCAGTGTGCAGATGAAGAAACCGAGAATTCAACCAACCAGCAAGAAAGTGATAATGAAATTCAGATAGAACATACAAGAAGTATCATGGTTGCAAGCCTCTTCAATATCTTTACCCATAGATCAACCACGGACGAAAGAAGTTTCTTAGTGAAATTTAACAGGTTGGCCATTAAAGCTTACCTTCTCGGAGACTTTGTTGCTGCTTCCATTTAGTAGCTCAGGAGCCATCCACGGGAGTGTCCCCCTTACTCCACCAGACACCAGGGTGTTCCGTTTTATCTTTGACAGCCCAAAATCACCAACCTATTGTAACAATTATTCAAAAGTTAGTTTATCGGGGAATTTGAAATTAGAAAACTCTGAAGAATATTTGTATTAGAATAATTTGAAATTAAAATCATGGGACGGAGGGAGTAGTAGGGAGAAGAAATGATCTCGAGGGATAATAACACATCACATGTAATCAATTTTAATTGCTCGTCAATACGACCTTGCATATTGGTCGTGAAGGATCCTTCAAATTAACCAGTAAGTTGTCACATTTCAGATCAAAATGCACAATGTTTTTTGAATGCAAGTATTCCATCCCAAATGCCGCATCCATGGCTATTATGATTCGTTTTCGCCGATCAAGATGCCTGCAGAAGCCGAATGCAACAATTGAAGTTAATAAATGACACTGATTGGATAAGAATGTAAAACAGCAAGCACATCAAAAAGTAGCAACAATTGACAACTCTATGCCAATTCAGGATTGCACTTTCGGTGTGTGTTTGATCTTTAGAGATCCCAATAAGAAAGACTATATTGTAGACTGAGGACATCAAGCATAGGTGATGTAATTGTACCTATCTTTGCGAATTAGAACATGCCTTAGAGAGCCATCCACCATATACTCAGTTACAGTAGCAAGAGTTCCACCTATTCCATCATGTACTACACCGTAAAATGCTACCACATTCGGGTGATGAAGCTTTGAAAGAATATCAGCCTCCCTCCAGAACTCTAGTGTCTGGAAAGTAGAAACAAGAAGAATGTGATAAAAGAGTTCTTGAATAGAATAGCCTTAACAAATTTGCAAGAATAACTGAATAAGTGATAATGAGCAGGGCATGACTAAGAACACAAATGAAGTGGTAATATGGATCTAATCCCCTTGTCTCCCTTGTGAATTGTTCCAATCTGAAGCAAATTACCCATTTAAAAAGTGAAGGAAAACAAGCAGTATTGCTGAAACTCAGAAATATGTTTGTTTTAAATGATGCATAGAATTGGAAGAAAGTGGATGAGGAGTGGTATTTGTAAAAGAATGGTCACCAATCTCTCTTGCTCCGATGATCGCACAGTAAAGCAACTCTTTTTTATTCTTTTGATTGCAACATCACTCCCTCTCCATTTTCCATGGTACACTGTCCCAAATGAGCCAGAACCAAGTTCCCTCATTTCCTCAAGATCTTCATTCCTGATTATCTGTGATTCAAAGATATGATGTAAAGCCAAAATTTAAAGCCATAGGCGTACAAGTAAATTGGAAAGGAACAATAGACATCTGGGCCTTAAAACAATAGGTCTTAGATAGGAACGCCTCGAGATATAAGATTAGAGTAGTTGGATGGACTTCTGGGCCCTAGTTTGTAGTTTATGTTGGGGTATTTTTGCATTAGGCAATCGCTTGTGCATGTGTACTTTGTATTTAGGGTCTAGTTGCTAGTGTCACTATGTATGTTTCTGGTATATGTACTCTTACTTTGTTTGTGCAAATGTGTCTATTTTAATGGTGCTTCGGTGTTTGAACCGGGGGTCTCTTGGAAACCGTATCTCTAATTCCAAGTAGGGATAAGGTCTGCATACACACAACCCTTCTTTTTTGTGGAATTTTGCTAGGTTGATTGTTGACTGTTATACGCACACAAGTGAATTATCCTTGCACTCGCACAAAAAGGCCAAGTTGTAGAAGAATTTGGAATCTTATGATAATTATGGCATGTTCATTAGACATTAGTACTATTAGGAAAAATCATATCTTCTTACCAGTTGCACTTGTTTTTAGGGTGATATGATTCCCTGGTCTGATATATAATAAGTGCTAGACTTTAAGGGCCATCACTTTGCTCATATTTTCAGTGTTTTTTGCTTAAAGAGTGAAGTCAGAGCCAACAACAACAACAACAACAACCCAGTTGAGTAGGGTCTGGGGAGGGTGTGTGTACGCAGACCTTGCCCCTACTCGAAAGTAGAGAGACTGTTTCCAAAGAGACCCCCGGCTCAACGTCGAAAGTTGCATTGCTTGACTAACTGCTTCTTCATTAATTAAAGAAGCGCAGACAGTTTAGAGATCCATTTTGATTTATTCCATCACACCCCAAAGCCAAAAAATGGTGAAATTTTGGTTCCATCGGAGATGATGGAACAAGTGAAGTCAGAGCCAGATAAACATAAAGCTCAGTTCCTGATTAAGCAGGGAAAGGGTTTCACAAGAAGGAAAAAGTAGAATAGTAATCTCCATATAGTAAAGAACTATGCTCACCTGCAACGAACTTAGGTCAACATCCACCAAAGAAGTGCCTAAAGGAGGTAGCCCAATATTTATAATTCCGTCCTTTAAAAAAATGAAGTGCACCAATATCAGAATCCGAATAAGAATCCATATTAGCAGAAGAATATATTATTACAATACCTTACACCAGATAGAAATTATACCTCATACCCTGAGCTCGGGCCATATCCAGAATGCAACATCACAGAATTGGGTCCAACATTGCTGCTTGATAATTCTGTCTGATTACCTTCAACTAGATTAACTTGCTGATCCAAATGGCTTAAAGCAACTCCCTCACTCATGGACGGCAATATTCCATATGCTGAAGAAGCCTCATCAATCTTTTGAAGCCTAGGAGAATAACCAAGATGATCTTGATCTATTAAAGAAACATCTCTCTTGGCAAACTCATCACCCGCCAACTTTTGGAAGAAGGACCAATTCTTAGGTTCAAGGTTTTCCATGTTCACACTCACACCAACTCCACTCTGAGGTGTTGAATCAATATTATTTAAACTTCCAGAAAGAATGGCTTTTGCAAATATATCAGAAAGGATATCACGAGGGAACCTATCATTGATATCAATCATTATATCCCCTTGCTCAGCTCTAGCCACACCAGCACTAGGTTCCTCCAAAGCAACAGCCTTATTACCATTCCCCTTCTCGTCTAAGTGCTGAGAAGGACCACGAGCATTATTAAGAAATAGCTCATTGTCAATCCTATCTCCCCAATGGATGTCAGGAAGACTATTAACTGAATCTTCCTGGTATTTCTCAGCATTCAGTTGGCTAATGGCATTAACCCTGGGTCCAGCATCCACTGAATCATCAGCAAAAAAGTGTTTACTAGCAATTTCAGATGATAATGCCCCATGGAGATCCACTTGGCTCTCACGTGCTTTGTCTTTCATATCCAGACCAAGTGGTACTGTCTGCTTTGCCTTATGAGGCTTACCGGTAGGCAGGGGGTTCTCAATAGGAATGATCCGCTCATTCTGTACATGATTTGAGTTTTGCACTTTTTCATCAGACTCTGTACGCAAATCTGTTCGTGTAACATCAGGATGAGGATGGTTCATAAGGAGCTGAGAGTTGTGCGAATCATCTGACTTGGATACCCTGTTCATCGATTCTGCCTGCTCGCGGGGAATTCTTTCCGAACAAAATACTCTCTGGGGAAGGGGTGGCGGAGTGGGCTCAAAGAAGCTCAAATCAATAGGAGCAGATTCTGAATTGCTAGATTCAGGAACAGATGCGCAACTACAGTCATTTCTGCTAGAATTAGGAAGTTCAGGGCTTGTAGTTTCAAGGGGGGAAACGGTATATATTGGATATTGGGGCTGCCCGCCATTCTCTTCAGGAGAGTAATCATTGGTGTGATTGTTAAGCAAATGTGCAGCAGCAAGCTGCTCATTTGAAAATATTTCATTAGTCTGAACCTCCCCTCTATGATGAGCTGAACCATTGGCATTTGATTTCAATGGCTTCCCACCAATTTGTAAATGACTACTAACACTCAATCCATCTAACAGTGGCCCCTCAGTATCTTCTTTCTGAGCTAGAAATCTGTTTTGTTTTACTATGAGACTTTCAGGAAATCGCGTGTCAGAATTCAAATTGCTATCGGGTTCCAAATTCTGCTGTATGCTGTCATCATAATGTGGCATCTGCTTATGATAAAGGTGCATTTCTGATATGTAAGCATCATAGGAATTGTGTTGTTCAGAAGGCTTGGGTATTGAGGATGAGCCATCAAAACCAGACAAAAATTCATTTTTCTCATCAATAAAATTGTATGCAACTCTGCCGGTGTCAATCTCAACATTCGGCATATCCAGCTCAGTTAAACTGTTTGCAGAAGATCCTATGCAATGCAAAACTGAGCTTTTCCTGGATGACATGTCAAAACCATTGACAGCAACAAAATACTGAATCTCACATTCAGCATGAGAATTAGTTAGACTAAAATGAGAGTCCTCCAAGTCAATCAAAGAAAAGAGAAACATCCTAAGCTTCTTAGTTCCTTCTCTATCATCTAAAATATAACATTCTTCCATCATGTTCTGCAAATCCTCATCACATGACACAGAAACTAAAGCATCAAGATCCTCTCCTGGAAGCTGGTACTTTATAACATGAGTAAGGTCATAAATTGATATAGCTTTCTTCCATAACTCATGCCACGTTATGTCCTTCCTTATGCGGATAATGCGTGTTTCCCCTCCCACATACCTGAGCTTTCCATCACTCGGCCGAGGTAATATTTTTCCACCAAAGCTGAAAAGAATCTTAAGATGTACCACTGAACTATCAGAGGCTCCAGAATGAAAGCCATTGTTCTCTGCATAAGTTTGATGTACAGGTAGCATAGAGCCATTGTGACTTTTCGATTCACAAAATGAAGAGTTTCTTTCTTCTGTATATCTTAGACCTTCCATTGCGGTGAACATGTGAATATCTGAACCTCTTTCAGATCCAGTTCCTAAAATACCTTTCAGCTCCAGGTGACCAGGTGTATGACTTGGATCCACATAAGTATTTGGAACAACATGGGATTTTCTGGTATTAAATCTGTCGAGCATGAACTCAAGGGAGAACTCTTCACCTGTCTGTATTGAGTAATTAAGCACAGGCTTAGACTTTGGATGGTTCAAATCAGGAGTGTCATGTTCTAGTATGTTCCTCTTAACACCCTGAGGTTCAGGAACTACTTCCACATTGACATTTTCTCTAGTCGTATTATAATGCAAGTAGTTTTGATTTTTTGATTGATCCATCTAATCAAATCAAAAAATTAGGTTGCACTTCCCCTCAAAAGTGGAAAATGTTGATGCCACCACAACTCACCTATTGATACAAAGGGTTGCAGAATGCAATGGAATACTCACTCTGCTCCAGCACTGGTTTACTCACACGTGCAGAGAAGTGAAAATATGTCATTTCAAAATCTATGAACACGGTAGAGGCAGAAGTGGACGATTCACAATTAGCAATCATCAAGGAGCACGAATAGCGTCAGAACCCCAGTATTAGCAACAGTGAGGTGCCCGAGCACAAAAGGCAATTTCAGTTCAGCAATGATGGGAACAAATAAGCTGGTAGAAACCGATAAAGATAGTCACTGCCATATACAAAGCTATGAAAAAATTTAACCAAATCAAGCACGAGCCAAAAAAACGTAAAGAGGAGATAGCACATAAAGAGAAACAATTTATCATTCCCTCGTTCCGGATTTAGTTTTCTGTCTCGTAAATCCCTCAAATTTAAGGATTGGGTGATGGGTGATTTATTTCAAGTATTCCACAAAATATACCTTTTTTTTCCTCCCTTTCCCTCTCCATCCATTTAGTAGTGCCGTAATCCAAGCCTATATCCTCTTGTAGATACTATTCCATGGAATTTCTAAGCTAAATAAGATAATTTTTCAATGAATCACGACATCTCAAGCAAGAAACCCAACTTAATCGGGACGGAGGAAGCATGTTTTTCAGTCTAAAATATTTAACCAAATCAGGCACTAGAACAAAAACAAGGAGACAGCACAAAAAGAGATCATGTTAATTTAGGGCATTAAACTTCTCAGTCTAGATTAGAGTGGAAGATGGTTTCAGTAGGTTTTCTACCCTGACTGCCTCGCTATGGTAGCTCTGGCCGCTAGTATATTCTCTAGAGCAAATCAATTACTCTGACCCGTATCCAAGTACGATTGATCACATGATTCAATCGATTAGACGTAGGAAGGAATAATGGAAATTGGCGGATTCCAAAAGAGAAACGAATTCGATCTTAATTCCCAAGAAAAATTGAAACAAAAATCATACCAGAAGAGAGCGAGCCGGGCGTGGAAAAGAACGAAAGCCGCGAGTTTTCGTGCGAGCTGTCCTCCGCTGCTGGTCGAGAGCTTGAAGAAGACGAGCAAAATGGGAAATGACGCCTGGTTCATCAAGTCAAAACTATACACTACTTTGACTCATAAGTGGGGACAACTGGCCATGGATCCAATTATCCGTCCAAGTCCGAAGACCAGCCCATTTTTTATCATTAGTGATGTTTGGCTAGTTTATGTTTTTAAATTATTAATTGGGTGGGATTCCCATGACATTGACGGTTCAGTGTCCCGTTCGTAAAATTGACGGTTCCTACCCTTCCTAACCTCTCCGGTAAATCATCCCCCACCCCGACCCGACTCGAACACATTCCCTACCCCCGTCAATTACACCCTATAAGTTGATTTTGACTTTAGATAAATAATTTTCATGCTAAGTGAGCTAAATAATTTTCATGCTATAAGTGAGCTAAGTTTCTTGCCTCATCATGCTCATTGGTCATAGGGTTATTCTTACATTATATTTTTTTCTAAATTCTAACAATGTCTAATTAATTATTTAAGCATAATGAAGACCAAAAATGTTTTGTAGTCTATCTCCCACATCGCCCCAACGACACTTTTTTCTTATTAAATTGCCAGCAGATAGAAGCATGTACGTGGTCGTGTGGAGCCCGTTGGTCTCATACACAATTATTTTGTGGAACATGATGAATAAGTAGCCTTAAAATTTAAAATAAATTTTAGTGTTTATAATTAAATTTCAATACTCTTATTCATCATGTTCGATGATTCAATTTTAAAATGAAGCACACATACCATAACCATTTTTTTTGTGGAGTGTAACATTTTTTTTTATTTTTTTCTAACCACGTTAAATAAACCCACCAAAATTGTCCTAACATGTCTATAAATTTGACACTTGATTTAAAAAAATGAAATAAAAAATGAAAGAATACGTGACTTATTATGCATTTTAAGTTTTTAACCATATAAATTATAAATTGGTATAGAAATAAAAAGTACTTCTTATAAATTAAACCATTTAAAAATATATCAAAAGTTCTAAATAACAAGAGATGACATAAAAAATTATTTACCAAATGATCAATGAAAACATTCAATTAGTAATTGACAATAGAGTTTGGCAATAATGGTTGGCCTTTTATATGAAAGTTTTATGATATCTAAACATATTAAATATGACTTTTCTATATGTCTCATCATACGTGATAAAGAAATTTAAATCTTAATGTGAGAGATATTGAAATCTACTTAAAAGCCTGTTCTTTAGAACTGGGAAAAAAAGAGATGCATGTTGGAAGAGACTAGAAAAACTGAAAGAAATTGGAAGAAACTTTTTTTGGGTGTTTTTATATTATTCTCATTCTAACTCTTTTTATTATAAATTATTATTATTATTATTATTATTATTATTATTATTATTATTATCATTATAATTATTGTTGTTGTTGTTGTCGTCATCATCATATTATCTTAATGAATGCCTTTAAGAAAAAAATTGTTATTTTTCATACAAAATACTCCGTAACTACTTTTGCAAAAGAAATAATTAGAATATAAAATTATCATAAATATCAAAATGTTAAATATTTAAAAATTATTGTGGCTACGCTGCACGTCACTTTATTTATGCAGTATTTATCATAAAATAATATATTTGTAATTATACTTTATATATTACAAGATTTTGTTTTAAATATCAGACATATCACATAATGTGATGAGTGTGTATCATAAAAATAATGAGATGAAAAAATGAAATCCTTTACTATAATATTTGAGACTCGTCGCACAGAATTTCGACATGTGGCGAGTCTACTTGGCATATTTTTAACAAGTCATCTGCCACGTATTTAATCTTGAGATTTTTTTTCCAAAACATGCATTTATGGGGGTTTGAACCTAAAAACCTCCTAGACATTTGGTTGAGTTTCTAGCCATCCAAGCAAAGTTGATTTTTATTACAAGTTCACATAACCCTTTATGATATTTCATAATTAAAAAAATTGTATAAAAATTCCTTTTCAATTTAAAAAATAAAATTTTATATATAAAATTTGAGAGTTGGCTTTCTAGAATTGTGACAAATGGCGCGTTTATTAAACAATTTTTTTAACATGTCAAAATGTCATGTTATCAAGTTATATTTAAAGAATTAGTTAACAAAAAAACTTATTCAATGGAAATTAAATTTTGTATTTGTTACACTCAAATTTCTCAGCATAATCGCATTAAAAAACTTTTATATCTTAATTCATTATTGGAAAATATTTAAATTAAATAATATATTTTGAAATTGAAAAAATTACTCATATTCAAAAACAATAATAAAATAAATAAATTTATTCTAAGAACTGATAGATTGGTAGGACTAAAAAAATTGAGAGGTTTGGTAGTTCTAAGAACTGATTTTGGTCCGTAGGAGGCGATTGAGAGGTTTGGGAATTTTTTATTATCGTAGATCTATTTTTTTACACAGTAAATTTTAATCCTCCTTCCTAGGCAGTGTTCAACGAGATTAGGTTCTATTTTGGTAGGTAGTAAAGCAAATTAAACATGTACATATGTATTACTTTTGCAATACATATGATGGTTTTTACACATACAGAAAGAGAGAGGTCGTCATCAGTTATAACCTTGCATCATCGAATACATTTGAGAAAGAATGTACTCTATAATGTGACAAATGGTATTTTTTTTATTATGAATTAAATATTTAATTTCCCAGTAATTTTTTCCCAAAAAATCTATACAGTGCTCCGATCCAGGAATAATTTTCCAATAATTTTTTCCCAAAAAAATCTATACAGTGCTCTGATCCGGGAATAATTACACAATTCATCATGCTTTTAAGTGCATAAGAGACATATGGATCTATCTTCTATAACACATGTTTTATTTTCTTTGAAGGTGATAATAAAACAATTATCTTTGTGTATTAACTAACTCTATGTATAAGATATTATAAACAATGTAAGAAAGTACTTCGTATTACGTAAATTAATATGGTGGATGCACTCGAGGTTGAATTTTCATCTCCCATGAATAAACTTTGTAACCTTTAGAGATCAAAAAAAGCTAAAAGATATTGTCAAAGAAAATGTTGACAAAGCTTCAATGTTTGAAGCTTGGATGATTTCCAATACACAATATAATGCGGGATAAAATTTGATGTATGCAAAGAATTTCCCAATTTTTTTTGTACAATCATAAAATAAAGTGCAGAAATGGTTCCGATGTAACAAAGGTCATTAATAGGCAGACTACAATACATGCTTACGAAAACCAGAGAATTGTACTATTAACTGTCCAGTGAGGATGTACAAGCTATTAGAGCTTGCAGAGAGTTAACAATGTTCTACATAGCATATTTAAGGTAGCATGTGAAGCATTAGAGTTATTAACCAATGATAAAGAACTTATTGAAGGTATAAAAGAAGTTGCTAAGTTAGGATTTAGGAATATGCTAAAATGTTGTGGGTCCACGTACCATGAGTCACCCATAAATTGTTTTGAAAAAATTATAGGAACTCTTAGTGAATGGAATTTTATTTGATCGAATGAAAATATTTTGGAATCAAGGTACTTGAATATGAAGATAGTTTTTTAATGTATTAATCCATCTGAAACACATTATATGAAAACAAAACTCTTTAATTACGCACTGCATAGAAACAAATAATTCTTTTTTTGCAGAGCCTATAATATCACGAGAAGACCTAAAGAATTTATGTCTAATTGAGATTGAAAAGTTGCTTAATTGAAATGTACGACCTTTAAAGGAATTCAAGTGCATGCCATTTGGAGATGACAATCAACTTAATAGATATCAAAATAGATTTTTGATAGAGAAGTTGAACTATGATTAAGAAAAGTTGTCATTTGATCTTAGAGGATATTTATCTACAATGAATGAAGATCAGTGGAATATATCTAATGAAATAATGGAAGTCGTGATAACTGAAAGAGGGAGTTCTTTTTTGTCAATGGTTACGGTGGAACTGGAAAAATATTTCTCTAGAAGTCATTGTCTGCTTCTCTAAGGTCAAATGGTAAGGTTGTCATGAATGTCGCATCCAACTACATTGTAGCATTGCTTTTGCCTAGGGGAAGGAGCGTCGAGATTTTTAATCCCTTTGGTGCTAACCGAGTGCTCATTTTGTGACAATAAACAATGGAGTCCAAAATAATCATATGAGATTTACCATCTACGATGCATATATTTTCTTTTGAGACATTGGATTACACAATGAGAGATGTAATGAGGTTCTCCAATAATAAATTCTTTAATGAACTATTCACAGGGAAAATATTTGTACTCAAAGAAGATTTATCCAAATTTTTTCAGTTTTACTCATAGCTTTGAGAGAGGAAATTGTAGGTGTTACCACCAATTCCTCACAAATGTAGTTGTATTGTAAAATTTATACATTAATCAAAAATATGAGATTACATTAATCTAAACTCTCTTACACAGACAAGGACACATAAGCTTTTTTTGATTGGATATCAAAGTCAAAGATGGAAAACTTAGACAAGTGATCGATGGAACTGCTGACATTGAAATTAAATCATTCTGCATTCTTGATTCTTGAAATAAGTTATCCCCTCAAGACTTATAGTGGATTTCACTTATCCGAACCTAATAGAGAACATGAATTTTTTTAGGATAGTGCACTTTTAGCATCCGCACTCAAGTTTGTTGAATGGTAATGATTTTTTCATATCCCTCATGCAAATCCGATTTAAATGTAGCTGTTGAAGACAATTGTATAACACTTTAGTTTTTTTTAATTAAATCAAATATTCAGAGATCCTAAACCACAAAAAAGTTTTTAAAAAATGGGTACTGACTATATCATTGAAGAACATTGACTAAATATCTAGATTGTGTAATGATAGAAGATGAATCGTTTAGAAGTTGAGAAAGAATATTATCACTGCAATTGAGGTTTTATGAAATCAATAGAGAAAATGATTGTCATACCCCGAATGAATTTGGTATCATCTGATTCAAGACTACCTATGAAATTCTAGAGAAAATAATTCTTAATAGTTTTATATTTTACTATGACTATTAACCAAAGCTAAGGTCAAACATTCTCTTTTGTTGTATTATTTTTAACCAATTTAGTATTTAGTCACTGGTAGCTTTATGTTACTTTTTCACGAATGAAGGCAAAAACATGATTAAAAATTTTGGTTTTAGACAACAATGGAAACCTTTACAACCATAACAAAAACGTTGTGCACCCTAAAGTCTTTAAAAAAATTGGAATTAAATAAGGTTTTTTCGAGTACACTTTCATTTCCTCAAATATGATTTATTCTACTGTTGTCGTTGTTGTGCATTGATTAAAAATCGTGTTAGAAATATATTTACTTGATTTCGGAGAATATATTACACTGAAAAAAATCGAAATCGAAAATTTTTTTGTTTAGCCCCGTGCGTTGCACGGGTCAAAATACTAGTAATTTATAAACTATAGTTATGGATATAATAAGTGTAATAATAATTGTAATAATAATTATAATATATCATTTTTAGAATGATAATATTAATATATCGTTTTTTGTCCATTTTACAAATTTAATTAGTAAATATACCCAAAGAAAATTAGGTCTAACATTTAAAAGGATATTTACAGAGTATATTAAATCTAGTATGGAGTAGAAATGTTTGAGTTATTGTTTGGTGCATCAACTAGTGCACACTCTCCCACATCGCCCTAACACCATTTCTTTTCTTGTTAAATTGCGAGCAAAAGCATGTGGTGGGTAGAGCTAGTTGGCCTCATCTAGAGTTATTTTGTGGAATATGGTGAGCAAGAGATTTTGAAGTTTAAAATAAATTTTAGCATTTATACTTATATTTTAAGATTTCTTGTTCATCATATTCCACATTTTGATTTTATAATGAAGCTCACACGGCATTGTGTTTTTACATATTGTGGAGTATCATTTTTGAAGATTTTCAAGCACTGTAAGCCAACAAAAAATTATTCAAATATACATACAAATTTGAAAAAAAGACTAAAATATGAGCAAATTATTGAAAACATACCAAAATATGACTTCCATGTTTTTATTTCTGAAATAAGAGTTCAAATGCATTTACATTACCAAAAATGGTCATCTACATTACCAAAAAGTATAGTAATGTGTACATGTACAGACGTACAGTACCACATTACAACATTACAACTACATTACCACAATGCAAAATCCTATTTCGAAAATAAAAGCAGGAAACTCCTATTTCACTATTTTTTTTATGTTTTAATCCTATTTATAGTGGTTTCTATCCAAATTTGATATTTTACAAAATAGTACGGAGTACTTATACTTGGTACGGAGTATTTAATAAAAAAAATGAATACGTATGGGACTTGTTTTTGTTTCCATGATGATGAAAGTTTATCTATTAACTAAAAAAGTCAAATTAGATTGATACGGAGTATTCTAAGCTATTGTTTGGATAAAAAGAGAAAATGAGTGGAAAGAAATTGGATGGAAAGAAAATGAAGAGAAAATAAAAAGAAAATTATTGTTATTTGGATGAGTGGAAAATGGAGTGAAAATATAAAAAGAAAGAAAAGGTGATAAAGCAAAAAGACATTTTTATCCTTATTTATGCTAATAAAACAAAAAAAGTAAGGATCATTTTAATACTTTTCTCTCCCTCTCTCAAGTTTTCTCGCCACATGAGGGGAGAAAATGTTTCTCACCTTTTTTCTCTTCCCTTCCCCTTTTCTCTCCTAAACAAACAAGTGATTTTTTCTTGGGAAGTGTGTTTTCTGTTCCCTTATTTTCTTTCCTTTCCAATTCCATCCATCCAAACAAAGGGTAAAGGTGTACAACCCATTTTACGAATGAAGTGCGAAGTAACACATTATTTTATCTCGCAATATGACCACTCACATTCAAAAAATATCCATCCCCAGACTAATTTCCATACACCCACAATGCAACGCCATACCTTTTCTTATATACAGTGAATCTTTTTTACTCAGTAATTTGTTATTTGAAAAAAAAAACATGGTCAGCGGTAATTTTCTACCCCTCCGTCCCGGAGTATTTGTCCACTTTTAATATTTTTCGGTCAAAATTGGTAAATTTTGACTCAAAAATAAATAAAAATGATACTAGATATTGATACAAAGATACTTTATTAGATTTGTTATATAAAATATTTTCAAAATATTATTTGATCTAATTAATATAATTTAATTATAAGTCAAATGTTGAAAACGGTTGACTGAAAAAAGTCAAAACTGAACAAATACTCCGAGCTGGAGGTAGTATAATTTACTAGTGTATTTTTTTGAGGATTCAAGTTGGAGGTAGAGTCCAATGAGGGGTCATAAAATGGTGCAAAAACCCAACTCCTTTTTGAAATCATCATCACCCTCACAATAATGGCTCAGTGCCTCCAGGAATTTTAACCAATTGGGACCTGTCTCCTCCTCCTCTGGGACATTTGCGGCGTTCTGAGGCCCCGAGAGATAAGCTTGAACAACAAACTGGGGACTCCTTTCCCTTCCTTCATAATGGGATAGCCATGCCAGGTAGGCTGCCCCAAAGTACAGTGACTCAAATGGCCTCCTCAGCTCCTCCACCGACTCCACCCTGTAGGCCTTGTACCCCAACTCCTTTTGCAGCCACCCTGCGGTGGGGTAGTCTATCCCCATCACCCCAACCCGTTGCCCCACTCCATTCACATACCGCCTACACACTATCTCTGCTATTCCACACAACACAGCCTGCAACGACACAGTTTGAGAGTAGTTATCTGTGGGTTATGATAAAAAAGGGAGATATTCTTGTGCTTTGCTTACCGGCTTAATTCCTCTAGCACTGAAGTACTTGTTGATGATGATTTCTGCCACTGCCTGCCAAAAGGGTCGTTAGAGCAGCATTATGTATAAGTTGTATGATTGAGTGAATATATGATAAGTCTCAGCTCTCAAGTGCTGGCTGGCATGTGCGTCATGAATGCAGGTGTATATGAGAACATCTGTCTTTACCCTGAGCTCAACCCTTGAAAGATAAGGTCTCTTCTCTTTGTCATGAGAAAATCGGACATTTCCACGCTTCTCCCCTGACTTGCTCCATTCTTTGCTCACACTTGGATGGCTCCACATCTCTTCCATGTCGTGTGCCGAAGTTTGCGAATCCCAAGTTATATTGACAAGCCCTGATCCAGCAGGTCTATCAAAGTGAGAAGCAATTTCTATTCTCTTCTCAAGTATGAAGAGATACAAGGTATTACTGTGTACATTTTATGACCAGGTTATCGCCCTGCCAAATTTAAAAGAATAAATCTGTATTGCATGATACATGTACTAAATGAAAACCATTTCGGAAGATAATCTATATATGATGCTCAGTAGAACAGAAGAGTGAGCAAGATGTGTTATCTCTAGTACAGTTGGACACAAATAAAAAGTCCAACAGCTCAAAACTTTGGAACAAACACTCCACCCTTCCAAATTTATGGTATCATCTTGAGTTTTGCAGTAAAAGTTAATAAAATCTGAACATAATTTGTATTGAAAATTATTGACCTATGTGAACTTAATATTATTAGATTCACTTTAGAATGTTACTCATTTCGTCACATAATTTTCTTCTCACTTTGACTTGACATTATTTTTAATAAAGTGGAACATGTGTGGTTGTCTTCTTGCGCTCACCTTACCCTTAGTTTGCTCTTTGCTTCTTTGTCATGTTGTGAGCTCTTTGTGTTGCTTAAGTTGGGGGTCTCTTAGAAAATAACTTCTCTACTTTCAAGTAGGGGTAAGGTCTACATGCACACATCCTCCCCATACCCTACTATTGTGGGATCTATTGGGTTGTTGTTGGAATGTGTGTGCTTGTGGCTTGTGTAGAGGAAAGAAAAATGAAATGAACCGCACAATTTTTTCCATAAAGCAAAGACGAAAACATTTTAGGACAACCCAAAAAAGAAAGTGGGAAGATAATTATGGGACGGAGAGGGTTTTTTATTATCATATGTTAATATATTTGTTTATGATTTTACACATATTTTTAGGCATCAGTGGCCAAATCATTTTCTTGGGCATCATGAATGTCAAAGAGAATATTAATTTTGGGACACGGGTTATATCAAGTGTAATACTTTATGTCCACTGCTTATTTAGTAGATGCCAAGCATTCAAAAATTTCAAACTGCAAATGAGGATTTGTAGAAATGCAACAGACACCCACAAATAAGGCAGCAGATTCCAAGTAATCTGAATGAACAATATTTATTGCCTACCTATTTTTTCTGATTCAGCAGCAGCAGCAGACGTTGAAGGAGCATAAGGCAAGGGACGAAGTTCAAAGAAATTCCTGAAGGAAAAAGGAGCACTGAAAATATTATTTCTTAAACTTTTAGTATAACATCCAACCTCAAAGTCTCCAGATGCTAATAAAGTAATGAACATGTATTGTATATATTCACTTAAAGTAATTTGTTGGATTTGGTAGAAACACAAGGAAATAGCTTGAAAGAAGTTGCAATATAGTAGAGTTGGACTTGTATCTTATACTAGTCACATGTATATACAATATAAACTCATCATCACCTTACTCCCAACTATGTGTCTAAGTTGGGTTGGTGTCATGAAATTTCTAGTTTTAATTGATTTTCAAAATTAGAAAACTATAGACTCATGCAATGTACTAAATCAAAGCAAATATCATAAAAAGTAATTAAAAAATGTCATTGTCTCACAAGCTTTACAAGGTGTATTGCTTTGCAGTCGGATTTCTGCAGATATCAATGAAAATCAGAACGATACCATTTGCAGGTGATTTGTACGACAAATAGAATCGAAATGCAAGGAAAATGCACGTAGTGGAAGAAATTGCCTGGATGGAAGGTTTTCCTTGACAGAAAGGTAACGCTTCCAATACACTAAAGTTGACTTGTGAGCTGCCTTCTTAACACCACCCTTGTATGCCCTCACAATGAACTCTTCACTTCTTTCTCTGTTCAGCATATAGAATGCAATTTTAAAATGATAATACTCTAGCAGCATTGCAGGCATGAAGATGCATAAAAGGATATGCAATAATAATAAATGAACTATAAGCAGCAAGATGCATGTGTGATGCAGTTAGTTGATTTTTTTGTAACTTACTTTTGCTCATAATTTGACAGCCACTTCAGATATGCAGCACCATGATACACATTAACAAAAGGATAGTATAACAGCTTTGAGTTCCCTGCCACATCATATGCCCGGAACCCCAATTCACTGCAGATAGTTACATTAAGCATTGCTGACAAAAAGCTACTCCGTATGAAGACAACTTTGTGATTTTTGAATGCTTTTGCATCTCACAACACACACACACACACACACACACAGAGAGAGAGAACCCCTTATTATATCCCCGACCTGGCTATCCGCTCGGCAGTTTTCAGGGAGATTTGCATGAGTCCCATGCTAACTTCCTTTGTTTTCTTGTTGTATTGTGTAGCAAGTGGCATCCTATCGCTTTCAAGTTCAGCAATTGCACATAGCATATCCTGCAGAATATGGGGAACAATACCAAACTAAGAGAGTATATGTGCATGACAGCTTCCATTCCTATAAGAAAGGTGAACGCCTCATTCCTTGATCCGAGTGATGCCTAAAAAGTATGAGTAAAATCTACCCTAGATGCAAAATTAAAACTCGGCCATACCGAGTCTATCTGGGAAACAAAATGTCTTCCAACAATAATACTCGACACTGCCTGTGTAGACAATCCCAAAACAGATTATTAAACAAAGAAGTAAATAAACAACACAACAATCATGTTGTCAAGAATACACCCACAATTAAGATTCCATAGGCAGGCAGACAAATGTTTACCTTCATCTCTGTTTGGGTCAAGTAAGGCTGACCCTCGTGGTCTCGGGACAGGTGAACTTTTGATCCTTTTGTCTCACCAGCGCTAACCCATTCCTCAGCCACATCGGGATCCCTCCACATGGCTTCCAATTGCCGGGGATCCACGCAATCATCCCAGAAAGTAAAGCTCGCAGAACCCATCCCTGCAAATCACAAATCACCACATCACATAAATCAAACAATCCGTTAACCATTCCTATAACAAATGAGCAATGTGTTCAGAAATCTGAAATGCAGGCAGGACAAAGGTAGGCCTCTTTTGGTGGATTACAAAAACAGAACAATTGAATGCTGGAAGGAATACCTAGAGGAAGATTTCACACGATTTCTCCGCGGCGATGCTTAAAATATGGGGGATGATAATCGTCGTAGAAGATGATCAAATGGGAGGAGGAAAACCTCATCTCCTTGACGATGAAGAGGCGCATGGGCAAATTATGAATTTAGCCGCGCCTGGATGCCTTCGCTCGCTTCGAACAAAAGATGGGTGGATAATGTCTTTTTCATTTTTTATTAGTCTCTGTGTCCCAGAGTATTTGTCCACTTTTATTTTTACACATCATCTAATATACTTCTTTAATCCATTTTATCTTGTAATTTGTATATTAAAAAATTATAGAAATTATATATAAATAATCTATATGTTAAGACAAATCAAACAAGATTACACATAACTATATTTAGGCTTACACATTGAGAGAAATTTGATGAGTGAAAATGCTTAGATGAACAGTTCCAAAAGGCAAAACTGGACGAATATTCCGAAACGGAGGTAGTATATAATAAAATAAAGTATTCTTGTACTCATTTGTTTTATTGAACTTTTGCTTATTTTGTTGAGTTTTTGACTTAAATTTAAAATATATAAATATCATTTTTTATTTCTATATCAATATTTAAATAAAATAAATTGAAAAAAGAGGAATTTACATAAGTATTACTGAAACACAGTGACTTTTCTAATGTAATATTATATCATCATATGTTTTCATTTCCTAATATAGTACCACTAGTCGTTGTCCACGGGACATTTTTCAAACTAAAGGGCCACCATAAGTGGACATTTTCTCGCCACTATACACTATTCAAATACTATTTAAGGAATAAAAAAAGTTTAAGTATTACATTGGGAAATGACATGTGTTTTAGTATTATTTAGTGTAAATTTCACTTGAAAAAATGTGAAATTTTTAAATATTTTATGCAACGCGAATAAAGATATGGACGGAGAGAGTATATTATAAGAAAAATTTACTTAAATAGCACTAAAACATAATAACTTTCTCTAAATAGCACCACATGTGTTTTTAGCACTTTTAGTCATTATGCACTAGTCGTTATTCAAGTAAATATTCGCCATCACACGACATTGTGGACATTGTTAAGTGTTATTTAGGAAATAAAACAATTTAAGTGCTATTTAGATAAATAACTTAAGTTTTTGTACTATTTAGTGCAAATATTTCATATTATAATTAATTTGGATCGGTTCAATTTATTTCGATTTGGTTAGATAACATTCTTAAATACAAACCAATTCGGGTTATATTGATTCGAATTTATGCTGATGGGAGATTATACTGGTTCAGATTTATACTAGTCCAATCTATATTAGTTTAGGTTAAATAAGTAAATTTTATTTTTATTTTTATACTAATCTAGATACAAATTTTATTTCTTTTTTTTCTTTCCACATATTTAGGTTGTGCCATGCTACACTTACACCACAAATTATACCTCATTCGTACACCGCAGTAATACACAAATATTTTGATGGTTTACACCGACATAAGTGTTGGTGCGTTAACAAAAATTTACACGGACACAAAGTGTTGGTGCATTAATAAAAATTAGTTTTAAACCAATACAAAATGTTGGTGCAAACTTGCGTGGTACAAAGTGGGATACAAAAGTAAGGGTACAAATAATTTTATCCATTTAGGTTGGAGTAAGTGAGATTATAAATTGAACTCATACTAAATGTAAGAAAAATGCTAAAGTGTACTCTATTTGTCCTCCACCCCCTCCATTACAACAAAAATGGTCAAGAATTTTTTTAAAAATTAAATAAATAAAAAGTAGAAAAAAATGAGTAGTAAAGAAGAGGATGAGAAACAAATGGGGTACATGTGAATGCTAGGGGTACCCCTAGCATTGCTGTAAATGCAATGTACAGCCGTACAAAGAGTCATTGGGAGCCGACATTTCCGAAAGATTTGGAGATGCCGAGGAGTGCAGACAGAGGAAGTCACGTTCATCTACCGGCGGTGCACGTGAATGATTGAAGCCACCTAACACATACGGACTATTTGATTGGGCCTCGCCCGGCCCGCTTCCATCTGAAACGGACCCTACACTATGTGCCAAGTGGGCGGGTTTGGACGGCCACAATCCCTTCCATCTGCGTGACTTATTTTTTCCTTTCAAAAACACTCTTTGATCCAAGAAAGGATTTCTCAATTATAATTTATTTATTAAATTTATTTCCAATTCAACTTTATATAATTGAAAGCCAAATTCTTCACTAAACAAATTTCAATAAAAAAAAAAAAGACAAAAATAACATAAGAAAGGGAGTATACACTATACACGAAGAAAAACATTCTTACACAATACAGTATTAGTTAAATAAATTCGATATTTACTCTGAAATATTTATATAAGTGTGCATATATAATTTGTAAAATTCTATTGATATTCAAAAGAATAAATTTACATTGTAAATTTATTGATACTAATTTTTTTTTGTAGGGAGTATTGATGTTTAAGTTAACCAAAATATATTAAATGGATATTAAAGAAAGGTGCAAAGTCTTTGAGGAAAAAATCATAGTATATTCCTAGCGTAGTCTATTGAGATGTTGTCTCATGTTTGATACATTCAAAAAATTGTCACATTAGGTGTTAGAAATTGCTTTAAAGACGTTGAAATTAATATTTTACCATCCACAGGGTATTACTTCAGAGTAGTTAATTATAGAAGGTGAGTTTCTCTCTTGAATTGAGTGATATGAAGTCGACCCTCTAAGATTCATACAAAGTTCAACTAAGTTCTCTTCGTACTATAAGCCAAACTCTTACATGATCTTTGGGTTTATCGCTATTTTATACGAGTATATCTTATTATAAAAATTTAATAAAAGAATTGGACTTTTATTAAAAAAAATTCTCATGTCAGTTCATAAACAGTGTAAAAAACTTCATATTTCACATATGCACTTTAAAATCACAGAAGTATACATTTTTTACTATTTAAACATTATCATAATTTTTGTTAATCTGTCCCATAAAGAATTTAATATTACATACTCCCTATGTCCCAAATTATTTGCCACATTTGTATTCTCGAGGTAAAATATCAAGTTTTTTCAATTTATTTTATTTACATATTGGTAAAGAAATAAAAAATTAAATTTACATATAAAAAAACTACATAAAAAATTCTTCAAAATAAGAGGTGTCAAGAATATTTTATTTTATCAAATAATCAATGAAAATGTCGAAATAAATAAAAATTCCCAACACTGCTGAAAAAACAAATGTTGTGAATATTTAGAGACGAAGGGAGTTTAAGAAAATGAAATTTTAATTTTTTTTTAGGAAGGGGTAGGAGGGTATGGAGTTATATTCTTTTATGCTTAAGAATCTCCGAAGAAGCGGTCAGATCACGCATTTTAAAGCGAGCAGGGGACAACCCCCCACTCTGCTCTCTCTATTTCTCTAGCGGAAGCCATTGACGTTAAACCTTCTCTGCATATATCTCCGCTAGGGTTTTACTTTCTTCTACATCTTCCCGTCCGGTCGATTTGGCGTCGGATTTCATACTCGTCGCCGGGAAACTGAAAGAAATGGGCTCTTCTTCTCTCCTCCTCAGATCTGCGGCTGTCTCCCCTGCTCTCCATGCCTCTTCAGCTTCCCATCGATCCCAGGTCATTTTCTCCACCTTCTTCTCATTTTTGTCGATCTAACTCTTTTGTTCCAGGACTTGTCCCTTATCAGCTTAGTTAATTGTTTTCTTGCTCTCGTTTTCTTCTTCCATGAGCATCTCTACTGACTATTGATCAGCTTCATGCTTTCACTCTACTTTTTCATTTTCTCTTGGCTAATGGAATCGCAACAACTTCTTAAATAGGCATCTTTTTCTGGCTTCAATCAAGGCTCCAATTCTATCAAGTTCGAATCAAGCATCTCTGGCTCAACTCATCTGAATCTTCGCGCATCTTCATTGCATCTGTATTGCCCTTTCAATCTCTCTCTCACTCTATGGTTTATCAGTTACAAGTGACTAGTGTATTCTATATACATGATTGACTTGGTATTTAATTTCTATAGAAGGAATGGTTCCCATGGCATTCAACCTGCTAAAGCTACTGCCACAGAACTGCCTCCAGCAATCCCAAGTATGAAAGCTTAACTTTGGTCTTATAGATGAATTAAATAACAAGGTGCAATGAGATATATGCTGCTAATTGATATGTTTTCTATCTTTCCTCAGAATCCCAAAATACTGAGAAGACAAGGGTTGGGATCAATGGTATGCTATTTCTGCTTGATTATCTCCCACCAGATGTTACTATTATTATACAGAGTATAATGTAAATAACTTTAACATTCACGCAGGGTTTGGGAGGATTGGAAGGTTAATTTTGCGAATAGCAACATCAAGGGATGACATTGATGTGGTTTCCGTCAATGACCCTTTCATTGATGCGAATTACATGGTTAGAATGCTCTAGAGAATTTTCATAAATCTGATATGGGGAGCAAAAAAATGCTATTGAGAATTTAAATATATGGAGCATAAAATATTTTTCTCTTTTTAGGCATATATGTTCAAGTATGATTCCACCCATGGTGTTTTCAAGGGAACCATCAGGGTATTGGATGGTTCTACTCTAGAAATCAACGGGAAGCCTATCAAAGTTATCAATAAGAGGTACAGCTGAGATCTCATCAGTTATTGTATTGTTGTCATTTTTAATTCCCACCCTAAACTCTCTACAATACAGAGACCCGGCGGATATTCCTTGGGGTGATTTTGGAGCGGATTTTGTCGTTGAGTCTTCTGGTATCTTCACCACAGTGGAGAAAGCATCAGTGCACAAGAAGGTCATTATTTATTTTTCTTGTTGCCCGGTGGCAAGGCGAGCCTGGAACAAGTTGTTCTCCTTTGTTTCTCTCAACACATCTGTTCACTTTGCTTGGTTTGTTTTTAGGGTGGTGCAAAGAAGGTTGTGATCTCAGCTCCATCTGCTGATGCACCTATGTTTGTGGTGGGAGTTAATGAGAAGACATACAAATCAAGCATGGATGTCGTTTCCAATGCCAGTTGTACCACTAACTGTCTTGCTCCTTTGGCCAAGGTTGTACTTTTTTTTGAACCTATAAGGTTTATATGTAATTTGTGTTCTTTAGAAGTAGATGATATGGCTTTAAACGACTTTGCTCAATTTGTGTTTGTTTTTGTTTTGCAGGTGGTTCATGAGGAGTTTGGTATTGTGGAGGGTTTAATGACAACCGTGCATGCTACCACAGGTTGAAGTTCCATCCCCTTTCTGATTCTCTATTTGAATTGTCACTTGTATGTGTTTTTTTTTCATTCCCATTTGCTCAGTGTTTTTAATTCTCTTAAACTCCTGAGTTTTTCAGCTACACAAAAGACAGTAGATGGACCTTCAATGAAGGATTGGAGAGGAGGGCGTGGAGCTGGACAAAACATAATCCCCAGTTCAACTGGTGCAGCAAAGGTGTGAGATTTCTTCTTGTTATGACATGTGAATTAACTTTATGGGACACTGTATTTCATATTTTAAATTGAAATGGTTAGGCCGTCGGGAAAGTTCTTCCAGCACTCAACGGGAAGCTTACGGGAATGGCATTCCGTGTCCCCACGCCCAATGTCTCTGTTGTGGACCTAACATGCCGACTTGAGAAGAGTGCTTCTTATGAGGATGTCAAAGCAGCCATTAAGTATGCTTTATGCCATTTACATTTCTTGTTCTTCACATAATACGCAGTGTTCATTTTTTCTTCACTACTGAACTACTCTACTGTCTATAGACATGCAGCAGAAGGTCAAATGAAGGGCATTCTTGGTTACACGGATGAAGATGTTGTGTCAAATGATTTTGTTGGTGATTCTAGGTGATGGCACCATGTTTTTTTTCTTTATGAGGTACCAATATATTGAATTCCAACAATCAAAGCAAACTATATTGATCAAATTTTTTTGGCTTGACAGATCAAGCATTTTCGATGCCAAGGCTGGCATAGGTTTGAACAACTCACTTATGAAGTTGGTGTCGTGGTATGATAATGAGTGGGGTTACAGGTAATGCATCATCATCATGTATACACATGTCCGGACTAATATTTGATTTGCACAGCAAAAAATATATAGACAAAACTTACCTCAGAATTTGGTGGCGCGGCGACTTTTGTTTATTTTAGAATCAAGGGCACAATCTGTGCGCTTTGTGTGTATTTTGGCTGAAATGAGACTAGTTAAATTCAATATCCAAAATGAGATTTTGGAAGTCAACCTTCCATGATTACGGGCCTGTTTCGAAACAATGTTTTCCATTAGCATTAGTGTTTTCGATTAATTTTTAACATTGCTATCAGACAGCCTTTCCAAAACACTAAAATTGTTGCCAAATATGCCCCCCTACATCAGAATGAGTTTTTGGGAAAAACACTTCATTTTTGAAATGCAAGCCAATGGTAGGTAGGGCTAAGACCCCCACCCCCAAAAATGTGTAATCTGTTCTTGACGAGTATAGTTGGCGGTGTTGTTTTTTTTGCAGCAATAGGGTGTTGGATTTGATAGGGCACATGGCACTAGTTGCTGCCTCAAGCTAAGGAGCACACCATTGTTGATGATGATGATGACAGTGATACTGTGAGAATTAGACGGGGACGGTAGAGAGTGATTGTATTTGTTGGTTGTGTCCTCTTTTTTTGTTTGTTTGTCTGTTTTTACTTTAATGTCCCTCTCCCCATTCTTTTCCTTTTATTTAAAAAAAAAGAAGAAAAAGGTAGCCAAATAATTTGGAGGGAATTGCTCCTGGTTTGTCTTGTTTTGGAAATTGCCAAATCCCCCTTCAGTCTTTTTGCGACTGAACACTCTTTTGTTCTCATATTAATTATTGCTCCCTTTATTTTGGTGAGTCTTAATGTTCTTTTAATAATTTAATTCATTCTCTCTTTTCTTATTCCCAATTACAGAGTACATAGACTATATTTTGTATTACACTATTACTCCGTAATTTTCACTTGAGAAAAAGAAATGTGTCTCACATATTTCACTCATTCTTCGAAAAAAGTTAACCACAATTTCAAAAACATGGAAAATCTATTGTGAGACATGTCATTAGTTGCACTCTATTCGAGAGGTACAATGCTTAAAAAATTGTTAGCCCGTGTTATTGAAAAAGCCTCGTTTGGGAGCAGTAGTTTCAATAGCGTATTTAACATCTTCAAAATTATATGTTAAAGTGCCAAGGACACATGGATATAGGTCCCAAAGAATAAAAGTTTTGCAACGATAAAAGTCTAGCAGACCACATTACACCTAACTTTTTGTTGCAAAAAGAAAATTTTGCTATAAATGATTCAAAATGATGAATTGAAAATAAAAATTACTTCGAGTACTCTTGATTTTCTTGTAATGACTCTCAAGGATCCTTAAAACTAGTGGTAATGTAATCTTTGAAAACAACTTCCCAAAATAAAGCATATCTTTGAAAACAAATTTTAGAGTAGCTTTTAATAATTTTTTCAAAGTCTTTTACTAAATTTAAACTCTAAAGTTAACTCAAACGGCTAAGAAGAGGATGTATATAGGTAAACTCATCTTTAAAAATGTTCATTATAATTTCACTAACATGAAATTTACATGGAAGACCTTTTGATTTCTTCAAAGTGGGGTAAATTCAAGATGTTGAAACATATAAAATCAAAATTATTTTTTCGTGTAATTTTTTTAAGAGTAATATTCAAGACAAGATTTTAAAAAATACTGTAGCATTGTTACCAAAACCCACCACCCCCTCTCCCACTCACCTACCCCCAACCAGACTGTCGCATCTGTTGTATTGTATTTTGAAGAACTCCCACTGTCCAAATGTTTGGCCACATGGAGAGCAAATAGTACAAATATATTTATTGAAACCCTTAATTGTTGAATAAGAAGATGAGAAGAAAATTTTAAAAATATAAAGGAAAAATACACAACATTGTTCGAAAAGGCCGCGAAAAAAAAAGGGAAATATATAAAAAAAACTTACCCCTACATATATAAAGGTAAAGAGACGGTTTCCCAAAAAACACCGTTCGAAATAGCAGCAGGTAAACTCAATGTTGAACAAAAACAAAACAACCAGAGAACCTATTTTTGTAACTCCGCAGTCCCCAGACAAGTGACAAACAGTCGCGTGAACTAGAATGTAAAAGCACACAAGCAAGCAAAAGGGAGACGATTAATCTACTGTATCTTTGCACTGAGTTACAAACCCACGGCGAACCACCAATAGCTACAAATTTGCAAAAACATGTTTTTTTTTTAAAAAAAAAATCACCAAACACATGAAATGCAATCTACAATCTCCTAATCATTTCTTTCTTATCAAACAAACAGAAGAAAAGTCATGAATTTGATCATAACTCTAATGGACAACCAACCAATAAATAGTACACACAGCAGCAAATGCAACAATGTGCAATGCATGCCTTATTTATGCTGTACTATGCCATTTTCGTTCAGGAACTCGACGAATTCATCAATGAGATAAGGCCAGGCCCCTTCAGCATCATAGTTTGACAATGCAGGCTCCACACTCTGTTCCATCCATCATTCAACATATAAAACACAAAGTAAGTAGTGTTCATTCATAGCTTCTTTCACATGTCTGTTAAGAAGGAAAGAAATGTCGAAGAAGGGAGCAGCAGAAAATACTTACCCTTGAAAATTCAAGGAGTTGTGCCCAGGTATCGCGCGAGATGGCCTTATTATGACGTGCCTGTGTCAATAAATGCCAACACAATCTGTTATGATTATTATTACTATTATTATTATTATTATTACTATTATTATTATTATTATTACTATTATTATTATTACTATTACTATTACTATTACTATTACTATTATTATTATTATTATTATTATTATTATTATTATTATTATTATTATTATTATTATTATTATTATTATCCCCACGGTTCTTTTGAAACCAGGATTGGGTTCAGGGCCCTATGTCGCTCTGTTGGGACCCAAAGTGGGTTCTATCCCCCATAACACCCCCCGCCTCCCAGATGGCCAATATGCCGTGGTATATGCTGTAGCTTATCAACTATATGGGGGACCCACTTTGGGGCCCAATGAAACACCATAGGACCCAAAATAGCTCGGTGTCATATTATGACACTTAGCGGTGGTGTCAAACGGTCCCTGCTTTATTTTATTATATTATTCTTATTATAATAATTAGTATTCATTAAAACATCAGATTTCCTGGAAAGAGAGACACCAGGGAAGAATTAATAGTGAATAATGACAAATTTGAGGAAACCTGCAGGAACTGGCACCAATGGTCAACCAGTGGCCAATCCTTTTCTGCAAATAGCAGCTGCCACATTCCAATTGCTGTATCCAACGCCAAGGATTTCTGACCCTATAATTATTTCAGAAAAATGAAAATCCGTTTCCATCGTCCTCATACCATACAATGTATGGCTGATACTTGAACTAGCCCGAAGATTGAAAAAAAAAACACTAACGTATGGTGATCTTATGCCTAGCACAGAATTTAATAATCATCACCTTAATCTCCAACCATGTCAGAGTTCATGGCTTGCAATTTCCAACATCAGTTGTTGTATAGAAATACAAAACGCAATAAATTAACTCTAAAAAGAAGTGACAAGGTTTAAGATCAAACACCATACCACAAATCAACACCTTCTTAGATAAGGATTTGTAAGCAATTAAAAACTTTCACTATCATTGTGTTTCTTTTTCACTTTGAGTAAAGAATATGATGAGAAGCCAACTAGTAGTTATATCCCTGTCCCTTCGTTGCAAAACCGACATGTACATCATGGTGAAACATGACTGTCACCCATTCAATAAAGCATGATAAGTTTGTAACCTTTATCTATGGAGTTCTATTCCAAAATGGTTTTTTTTGTTAAAAAAATAGTCAAATTGCATAAAATTTAGATAGTTGTTTTGTATCATTTCCAAAACAAGTTCCAGGAAAGTTTAATCAAACAAAGTTAGCTAAACAAAACATGAATTTGAGATATATAAGGACTCCATGACTTTTAAGTTGTGCGTTGACCAAACTCAACTCTGTTTTGGGATGGGTGACTATTTGGAAACTATAAAATATGCAATAGTTAGCCCGTTATACTATCCTAGAAGCAACACCCTTTACATTGCAAGTAATGGGACTACAAGGCACATATGACAACCACTTCTGCTTGCATGAATCATAAAGTCCAGGGAGTGAGAAACTAACTTACACAAGCCCATCTATCTTATACAAAAATGTGATCTGTGGGTCCATTGTGTTAAGATTGTTTTTTAAAATAACAAGGAAAATGACAATTAGAAAAAGAATTACCTTCTCCTTTGCCCAGTCAAAAGCAAAGTTATAGATCTCTCTAAACTTGTCTGCACAAATTAACCCAGAAAAGACTTGAATCAGCATTTCTTTATATATTATCTTACTAATGGCGATGGAATGCTCATGAACTTCATTTAACAATTTGCAAGGCCAACTTCACAATGTTTAGATCGTGGTGCTAGCCATAATAGGTTGGCAAAACTAAAGTACTATACATACATTTAAGTATTACTCCGCCTGCCTGTCCCACACTCCCACAAAGATAGACCAAGCTTTACTATTTTGGTCAATGATGCTCGACTTTGAGTAACATTTTCAATCGATATGCTTTAGCTTAAAATACTTTTTACAAATGTATACTCAACAAATACGATCTTTATATCTTTCATATCACAACCATTTTCTTTTAAAATATATTATCAGTTAAAGTTTGACATGTATGACCAAAAAGTCAAATATGGCCTATGTTTGTAGCATGGGAGTACCAACAGACTGTGATCCCTTCACTTCACCTAAAAGGATGTCAGAAGACTTGAATTTTCAAAGATCTAGTTTGGTCGGGTCTTAATCGTTTTAAAAACCCAACTCCCAAAATGACCCTTAGAATCTAAGAAACGCATAAGAATCAAGAACAAATGAATGAAGGAAGACAGACGGAATGAATTACAGGATCAAAACAGTCAATTAAAACATAAAACTTCAAAACAAGGTAAAGACAAAAAACTTCCTCAATTAACAATGGAAACAGTCTCAAAAACATACGTTCATCTTTCAGCTCATCCCGCATGAAGGGTATTTTTTCCCTGAATTTGTCCAATGAATCTACTCTGCCATTTAAACCAAAATGTCATGAACTGAGATGAAAATTTTGAACTTCATTTTTGAAAGATAAAAAAACATGCAGCATAAAACTTTCACTTGACTTTCCAACATCGCACCACACGTACCCAAGAGATTGCAATCCACTAATAAACTCCTGCTTGGAAAATTCACACATAGTTGCAGCACCCATGTGCCATGAAACTACCAACTGTGATCAAGGAAAAACTCCATACCAAATTCAGGTTAAAATGAAATGGGTAAAGGAAACAAGATCGAATGAAAAGAACAGAAAGGTTGTTTCTATTTACTACTCAAAATTTCATAAAAAGAAGCAAAAATGGTTCAACACTGTAATCTGCCAACTGCAGCAATATATAATCTTTCTATTTCCTATATGACTCCATCTAAATTGTCAGTTCCGAAGATGATGGGAATAGAATGAAAATAGGGAGGGATGAAAATAATCTGTTTAGTACAGAGTACTAAGTATATAATTATGTTTACATACCATGACAATGTCCTGAGGATCAACCTGTCAAAGTGTCAAGAAAATTTTCAATCGTCAAATTGGCACAGTTAGCCAGAAATATCCAAGGGAAGAGTGAGGAAGGGACATAAACTAAAAAAATCAGCACCCCCTCCCCCCTACCCTCAAACACACACACACACACACACATAAGGACAAGCAATAAATTTCTTAACCACATTAAGCTACCTGAATATCATTGCAGAGGAGACTAATACCATCAGCCATAATCATGTCACAGTAGGGATCTGAAATACAAATCATGCTCTAAAAATAAGAAATACAAGATGAACTTAACAAGTTTATAAATGAACAAATCTATCTGGTGGTAATTAAACTGTATTTCAGAAAGAAACGTTAATATCATATTTTATTTAGCTTTGAAGCTGCATCATTTCAGGCCGAAAGGACTGAAGATGATCAACAAGGAATCCAAGAATGTATATACATCATTCATTTGGATGCATCCAAAAGAAGAATGCATGTACATTACATGTACATATCGGCAATTAGATATATGCAGTAACAGTTTATTAGGCTTTTTGATCAACCTTCTTACTCTAACAATTTATGTACAAATCGTTAGTAATAGCAATTAGAGCGTTTGAAAGTAGCAAGTAGTGGTTAGTTGCTTGGACATATAGTATGTAAATTATTAATCTTTTCAAATGGAATTTTTTAAAAGAGCTTCCCGTTCAAAAACAAGTTCTTTTTAATGTCACTTAAGCAAATTGGATGAGCCCATAACCAAATACTGAAACATTAGCAGTTTGGTGCCAAAAACATAATTATTTTGAAAAATATAAAGGCCATCTCACAAGGTCATTTCCAAACAATACCATTCAGGCCATGTTTGGTTATAGCTGACCAGCCAATTTTTGGCAGCTTTGATAAATAGTTGCTGTTTGAGTAACAATTGGCTTTTTCAGGCTAGCTTTATGACATCAGAAGGCAAAAAAATGACAGTAGCATGGAGCTGGTTGGCAAAGTGCATTTCTTACCTGACTTGCTCACATATCTAGAAACATGAAAGCTACTTTGAACTTTGAAGAATAGTGCCACTAGGTTCCTAAAACATGATTAATTCTAATAATTGGCCACCACATCAATGTCTCATCTTTTTTAATAATGGTCCTTAGGAGTAATTCTACACCGTAACTGAATGCGAATGGCTAAATATACCGTACATATTTAAGCAACCACCTAACGTAATAGCTGCTTAACCAATGTGTTGGTGTTCATCAAAATTTACAGAAGTGAACTGCTTACAACTGATTACCAAACAATGACTAAGTCATAGACACACAATACACCCTTAAAATCTTACCCTTGTATCTATTGTAAAGCTCCTCCAGACGCTTTTTGTCTGCTGATGACTTAACCTGGGGCTGGCTATAGAAGAAGTTTAATGCTCCTTCAATGCTCCATTCACTTGTCTTCAGATATTGATGAGCCATCTTTTCGCTATAGTCAAATTAAAGATGTAGTTGAGGCAGAGAGACAAACGCTCAAATGCAATTGCTAGACATTTAGAAATTTAAAGAGTCATAAAAAGTTCAGCGAAGCGAATTAATTCACTCTCTGGGTTTGAATAATGACTTGAAGCTAATGGCATGTGCAAGGTAAAGGCAGAGGCATAAGTATGAGATTATGAGAGCGACACGTGAAAATTAGATTTAATACTTATGGAGTGGAAGTACCTAGCCCCGGTTATTGTCATGAATTGCTGAAGTTTGTCTCTGTGTCCTCTGCCCAGCCTATTCTGCTTATCAATAACAAGGATAACAACACTTACAACAGCTTTTCAAGAGCCCCCACCCAAAAAAAAAACAAAGTACAGAGACATTTTATACGAACAGAAAGATTAAATAACAGATAAAAGAGTAGAAATAATTAAGCAGAGGCAGATAGACTGCTCGGGTGAACAGAAAAATCCTAAAGATGTATTCAAGACAGTAACTTTCCACCTCAAAATGGGATAAAAGGTATATTTACAAACCAAATAGCATGAACAACCTAAAAAGCAGGTCAGAAAGGGGCAGGAACAACCCATTAGGCGATTAACAAAGATAATGAGAAATATCAGAAAAGTAAACAGATCCTAAACAAAAGGGAACATCAATAAATGAATTGAATTGCGGTAAAGATCAAAGCTTTTGGAGAAAAGAGAACGAGGGAGGAAAGCTGGAGGGATGAGAGCGAGAACCAACCATTTTTTTCTGGGGGCAGAAAACCTAAATCGGAGGAAAAACGAGATTGTGTGTGGGAATCTTGAGCGGAAACAGGAACTATCGAGGGCGAAAGACCTTCGAGGGGTTTTAAGATTCTCCTCCCGCTGAGCTGAGCTGAGTTGAGAAGCCAAGTGTGAAAGAGGATGACGATTGACGAGAGCCAGTTGATGCTTTTGGCCGGGAACTGTGGGAGATGACGAGAGCCAGCGGTTAAAATCCAACGATTGAGTTGAGTTTTTGCTTCTTAAATGTAAGTATTACTCCGTATTTTGCAACCTTTATATCAACCCTTGGATTAAAAGATGATTTAAATGAATGGCTGAGATGCATTTCTTTTTATTTTAGATCCATTCCACTGTCTCTCTCTCTCTACGCTACGGATGCGACGCAGGCCTCTCTCTATCTCGACGAAGACGACGGCTCACTGTCAGAAAATGGATATCGGCACTATTTATTTTTCGGTGACTCTTCCCCACTCTTAATCTGGCGACTGAGTCATCTCCCGACTGGTAAGTTGAAATCTTTTTCCTTCAAAATGTCATTTTTTGTTCAAGGAATCAATTTCGGTTAGTTTTTTTTTACTCTTTATCTTTTGGAATTTCGCCAATTTTTGATAAGATTTTATAAAAAAATCGTTTCACAATGACATTTGCAACAGATTTGGTTTCACAGTGACTTCTGGTAACATTTTTGGTAAACTTTTGCAACACAGACTTTAGTAATTTTGGTTAAAAAGTCACTGCATTTTGGTTTAAGTTGATTTTGTTTTTGTTCTTCACTGATTTTTTGTTTAAGTTGGAAAAAAGTTAGTCAGTTTTGTTCTTCAATTGGTAAAAACACACATTTCTTCTTCACTTGGTTAAATTTTGACAGAAGCAGTCACTTTGGTGTACTTTGAAACCATGTTTTATGCTGCTTTCATATTTGTAGGTCACTGATTACATCCATATAATGGATTTAATGTGTGTGGAGGAACCAACACCGTTACTAACATCTGAGATGAGCACCTCGGTTCCACTTGTTGGTTTTTGTGAGTCCTTTTCAACACCAAGAAAAGAATAAATGAAGACCATCATGAAAATATTCCCAATGTTGGAATGAGTTTTGCCAATGTTGGAATGAGTTTTGCCACTGTTGAGGAATTTGAAGATTTCTAGAAGTTTTGCTGCTTTGAGTGGAACGGTTTGTTGTGTCGCCACATTATAAAGTTGTTTAATTGCTTTACTGTGGTTCGCATTCCGGACAAGTATATTTTGAAACGATGGTGTAAAGATGCTAGTCGACCTTTAGATGTGTTTGCAAATGTAAGTGCAGAAGAAAAAGGAGAGGTGGTCAAAAGGGTGTTACATTTGAACCATTATGCCCAACAAATTGCAAGTTTGGCAAGCAAGGACGATGGCACATATCAATTGGCAAGGTCTTTATACAAAGAAAATCTGACGAGAATCTTAGGATATATAGATGCAAGTGAACAAGAGCAACCTGCCGGTGATATTGTAGTTGTTTCGGGTGTGGGTTCCACTCCTACCTTGCTCGAAAGTCAAAGTACGCAACGTAGCATTCAAGTTATTCTTAACCCAAACATTTCAAAGACAAAAGGGAGAAAGAAAGAGAACAAAAGGTGGAAATCAGGCATTGAAGTAGCAACAAGTGGCCAACGCAGGTGCAGCATTTGTCGAGCAACTGGACATAACGCAACAACTTGCAAGGTATGCAACCATTTCAATTAGTGTAAAAATTCTGAAACCAAACTTACTCACGTTGGCTTCTTTAATTTATTTACAGAAGAGGAATGTTGAGCCAACTGTCCAAGCTTTCCCAGGGGAACAAGGTGGAGTACCTTCTGCTTTGTAGTTGCTGGAATTTCAAAGGAGTTCTCATTATTTATTCTTATGTAATTCATGTACTTTCATGCACCTTCTATTATGTATTCTTATGTTTATTCACTTAGACATCTTTTTTATAGAATGGTATTGTGTAATAAAAATTGTTTATGTTCCTTTTCATTTATGACCGAGTACTACTAAAAAGATTAAATTATGTTGTTGAATATTTTGCACAAAGAAAAAACTGCAGAGTATAACCACAAAATTCTTTCCTTGAAATGATTGGTGAAGCTATTATGGGTACAAACAAAAAGGGGCAATAACAAGAATTAGAGCAAAAAAAAGCAGTATAATACACTATAACCACTGCAAATGACATGAAAAAAACACACTTATTATAGATAGAAACATTCATTGGTTACAAGGAAAAAACACCAGTTTCATAATTCCATACAGATGGTGGTGGTGGTACTGGTACTGATACATCTAACTGCATTTGTTTCAATGAACAAGATTTTGGTACAACAACAACCCCACCAAAAACAGAATACAAATATGCAAGAAAACTTCTTGTTTCTCATATTTTTGTATTCTTGACTCCAATACCACGTTCTTTGCATGTACCTCTCGTTCACGGACGGTGGCATCTATTACTTCTCTTTGTAAGTGCACAAGAAGTCCTTGAAAGTCACTTGTACTCTCCCGGGTAGTCGGAGTGACTGTCTCCTTGCTACTCACAGTGGTAGTAGGTTCACATTTCTTATGTAGCCATTCAAAGAACGAACAATCAGACACATACCCCCCGTGGGCAATGTTCGCAATTTTGGGCACCCATAGAATTTGTCTCCAAATGAATTTGCTTGCCGTGAGACTCGTAGTGTTGCAGCATGCCCACAATGACAAATGACAAATAGGTCTTGAGCTTAATGAGTGTGCTTCAGAGGTAACCTCAATACTCATATTCTTGCCACCAATTAAGTATACCTAAAAAAGCTTCATAGAGTTCATCCAAATGCCGTACGTAAAAACGAAAAACAGATCTAAAATGATTAAACAAAGCCATAAAGCAGGAAAAGCCAGAGAGCGGATAAAATGTAACAACTAAAATCACAGGTGTTATAAAAAATCACCAAACAATAAAAAAAACAAATCAGAAAAAAGCCAAAACAATTCGCATCTCAAATTTTCATTGTAACCACTAGGGTTTTCTAGAATTAAGATCTAAACAAAAAAACAAAAAATTAAAATCTAAACCAATCACCAAAAAACCTGAATTTGAAGGGGGAAACTAAAATCTACTGGTATTTGAGTAAGAAGAGACTGATGAATTTGGGGGAGAAATTAGAAATTACCAGTTTTTAGAGCTGACCGACCTTCAATTGAAGGTGAAGAGACTCTGACAGTGAGCCGTCGTCTTCGTCGAGATAGAGAGAGGCCTGCGTCGCGATGGTGAGTGGATTCGTTTCTTTGTTTACCCGTGAGCCATCGTCGACATCCGTAGCGTAGAGAGAGAGAGAGAAAGAGAGAGAGAGACAGTGGAATGGAGCGCCGTTAACTGATAAAGTCACAAGGTTAATATATCTAAAATAAAAAAAATGCATCTCAGCCATTCATTTAAATCATCTTTTAATCCAAGGGCTGATATAAAGGTTGTCATAGCATGACATTACTTACCTTATGTCAGCCGAACCTAACCGATTTTGCAATCCATTTCAATTTTTGTGCTAAGGGATTGCTTTCTTATAACACACCTTTATAAAATTTTAGATTGTGAGATCTAATGGTCACCATTGCATCAAAATTAGGTGTACTAAAATAGTCTAAAAATATGTCATATCAAAATGCACCAAAATCCTTTGAAAAATGTACTATCTCAAGAATTATACATATGAAGAGAATATATAAATATGACTACATTTGCATTATTGAACCAATTGTTAGTGCTAGTAGACTGGAGTGTTTCAAAATACAATAAGGTTTCTCTAATTCTATAGCTTCTGCCAATAATAAAAGATGGATTTTCAGGGACAAAAATGTACTTTCTACGATGATAATAATAAGAACATACATGTTTAAGTACTAAAACATATGGATCACTCAATGTTCACTAGATCACATTAAATATTAAAAAAGTAAACAAAAAGGTTAAAGTACTAAGTAAATTTTATATGAATATAAATGACATGACATTTGCCATATTCTAAATGACAAATTACGCCACCCAAAAGACATAAGTAGCGATCCTGGAAACATCATGATTTTCGTGGGCATCATAGCCGGAGTCGACATGATCGACATCATCCCGAGGGATCCCACACAGGTGACCGGGGCAGAAGTCATACCCACACTCACCATTGTCACTAGAGTGGTGAGAGTGTTGGGTTCTGATGCGATTGTTGGAAAGTTATAGTATGCATTACAATGGGCAGGGAACATGAACGATCCTAGAATAAAATAAAATAAAATCAAAATTATATTTTATTCGAATTTAATTACAATACATATATATCATTAATGATATGAACTAAATCAATGCTTCATTAAACTACAAAATTGGCAAGTCATACCAACTATTTCTTTTATGCATAATTCTCACATGTTAAGCATGCCATAAGAACCATTCTTACATGAACCATTCACACACACACACCCATATATATATATATATATATATATATATATATATATATATATTGTTTATTTCTGTTTAGAACACACTAAAACACCGAGAGGTCTTACCTTCCAACCACCTGGGCTAGGGTTTTAACATAGCAATCAATTATCTTGTCTCTCGGATTCTTAATGAACGACGAGATCTGTCGAGTCTCGAGCCCAGCCACCGAACCGGACACAGCAGGGTAATGACGGCGGACGCGGGCAGAGATTGCCACAAGGGGACGGTGGGGGAGGAAGAGCGAACTAGGAGACGGAACAAGAGAGGAGTGTGAAGGAGTGAAGACCGCGCTAATGGCCGTGGTGAGCCGTGATCGAGTCGAGATACCAGTCGCCATAGCTAAAGCTAAGGTGTAAGGTTTACTTTTTTTTCCTTTTTTGGCTCATTCAAGAATGGGGGCACCCTAATTCCATTGATAAGAGAGTCATTAACATATACGGAGTATACAGATAGTCATTAACTCACGGGGTGTTACAAAGTTACTTCACGAGTTTGTTTTCGGTCTCTAGCATATTCTTCTTCTCTTCCCGTTTTACTTCAAACTTATTCAAGAGAGAATAATGAAGCTTAAATGGAATAAAACCCACCAAATTGACACCCTAACCCTAACCATGAAATCAGAAACAAAAAGAAGAAATAATAATATCGCAACAAATACATAAAGCAGGGAAAGGTGATGAGACAACATTGGATTTTCCATTTATTTATTAATAGTTATAGAGTAATTACTTGTCTATTCCATAGTGAAATAAAAACCAAATTTCTTAGAGCTCGTTCCCTCTCTCCAGCTCTTCAAAATATTCCTCTTTCTTCTTTAGAACTTGGAATTATAACTTGTCCATTTTAACTAAAAGCTAGATTTCGATACTAAAGGATATTTTTTGGTACTATATTGATTTGAAAACAGCCATGGTTTAATAATATTTTGAATAATGAAATGCCTTTTTGCATGCACCTTGTTATTCTTGATTTCAAGGTCTAATTTTAATTTCAATACAGGCCTCTGAATAGTTTGGCCCAGAGGCATTTCGAAGACAGGATTCACAACATCAAACATAACTTTAGCCAATTGCAATTGTCAATTCAAGATCAACTAAGAAAAATTGAATCCATCCAAGATGATCTTAACCAATTACTAGCTTTATCCAAGAATATGCATATGCAACAACAGGTTCCTCCTCCACCAACTCTGGAGGTGTCTGGGACACCATCACTTGTTACAGGTATGGTTGCTTGGATCTAATAGGTAGACAACATTTTGCAGGAGTAATTCATATCTTGCCTTTCTATCTTAAACTAATTTGTCAATCCTTTAAAAGCTCAGCGGAGCCGTCTTTGTGTATGATGCATTGTTATTGTAGTAATACAACTGCTTCCCATATAGGTTGAACCTTCTAAATAATAAGTATGTATGCTCCCTTTGATTTTTTTGGGTTTGATGCATGGTTGTGAAAAGCATGTCTGATGCGCAAGGGATTGTTTGTAAGGCTCTACGATGCGGTCCAATTTTTTCCAGTTTCTCCTGGTTTTTCACGTTCATTTCATTTTTTTCCCCAATTTTACAGTTTCTTCGAGTTTCCTTTCAGTTTTTTCTAACATCTAACTTTTTTTCTTTTCAACTTTAAAGAACAGGCTTTATTGTATTCTGCATATGAGATGAATACAATATTTAGATGATTACTCTATTATAATATTTAGCCAGCTAATGAGTAATGTCCTTATGTGGATTGTACTGGTATAAATGCTAGAAGGTGCTATGAGATGAGTAAGAAATATTTTATCTAAATTCCTTTCTCCTTTTTTCTGTCTAATTTCTCACCTATTTCCTTCCCCTGCATTCTATCACTGCTATTTTTAGGGTTTTGTACTCTTTCCCTGCTTTATGTATTTGTTGCTATATTATTATTTCTTCTTTTTGTTTCTGATTTCATGGTTAGGGTTAGGGTGTCAATTTGGTGGGTTTTATTCCATTTAAGCTTCATTATTCTCTCTTGAATAAGTTTGAAGTAAAACGTGAAGAGAAGAAGGGAATGCTAGAGACCGGAAACAAACTCGTGAAGTAACTTTGTAACACCCCGTGAGTTAATGACTATCCGTATACTCCGTATATGTTAATGACTCTCTTATCGATGGAATTAGGGTGCCCCCATTCTTGAATGAGCCAAAAAAGGAAAAAAAAAGTAAACCTTACACCTTAGCTTTAGCTATGGCGACTGGTATCGCGACTCGATCACGGCTCACCACGGCCATTAGCGCAGTCTTCACTCCTTCACACTCCTCTCTTGTTCCGTCTCCTAGCTCGCTCTTCCTCCCCCACCGTCCCCTTGTGGCAATCTCCGCCGGCGTCCGCCGTCATTATCCTGCTGTGTCCGGTTCGGTGGCTGGGCTCGAGACTCGACAGAGCTCGTCGTTCATTAACAATCCGAGAGACAAGATAATTGATTGCTATGTTAAAACCCTAGCCCAGGTGGTTGGAAGGTAAGACCTCTCGGTGTTTTAGTGTGTTCTAAACAGAAATGAACAATATATATATATATATATATATATACATACATACATACATACATATATATATATATATATATATATATATATATATATATATATACACACACACACACACACACTCAAGGATCTCAAGGCCATTTTGACCAAGTGGAGCAAGGATGATTTTGGTAATATCTTCCATCAACTTAAGGAGGCAGAATCTCGAGCTAGCAGGGCCCAAGAGCATTTCGAGGCGAACCCAAACCCTGAATCCTTGGTTGAATTCAATAAGTCCAATGCTGAACTTCTCTTGCTCTCCAAAAGAGAAACCGATTTCTGGAGGCAGAAGTCTTGCATCAGGTGGTTAAAAGAGGGGGATGCTAGTACAAAATTCTTCCATAATGTGGTCAAAAATAGGCGCCAGAAGCTTAGGATCTCTTCTCTTAAGGATGACCATGGTAGGACTATTGAGGAGGCCAGCAACATTGCGTTACATGCAATAGATTACTACACCAATATCTACTCAGATGAACCAGTCAGTATTGATCCGCAGCTGCTTTCATACATTCCCAATATCATTAATGGAGAGGATAACTTAATGCTTTGTGCGGTTCCACAAGAGGAGGAAATAAGGGGGGCCATTTGGGACCTCAACTCTCATAGTGCACCAGGCCCGGATGGATACAATGGGACCTTCTTCAAAACCTACTGGCACATCATCCATGATGAAGTGACTAGAGCAACCCAAGAATTTTTCTTGGGTNCCGCAGCTGCTTTCATACATTCCCAATATCATTAATGGAGAGGATAACTTAATGCTTTGTGCGGTTCCACAAGAGGAGGAAATAAGGGGGGCCATTTGGGACCTCAACTCTCATAGTGCACCAGGCCCGGATGGATACAATGGGACCTTCTTCAAAACCTACTGGCACATCATCCATGATGAAGTGACTAGAGCAACCCAAGAGTTTTTCTTGGGTCTGCCCATCCCTAAATCCTATGGGGCGACTCTCCTCACTCTGATTCCTAAGGTGGACAACCCTAAATCTCTGGGAGACTACAGGCCGATCTCATTATCCACATTCCTCTCCAAAGTCAATACTAAAATCCTTGCAAATAGATTGGGTTCACTCCTTCACAAACTCATCAGTCCCGAGCAAAGTGGGTTTCAAGCAGGTAAAGGAGTGGATGAAAACATCCTCCTCACCCAGGAGATGATCCACTGCCTTGACAACACCTCTGGAAGCGCCAACATTGCTATCAAATTGGACTTCGCCAAAGCTTTTGACAGAATTTCATGGCAATTCTTAGAGGTTACTCTAAGCTCTTTTGGTTTCTCCTCCCAGTCATGCCACCTTCTTTTATCCACACTCAAGGTAACCCACTTCTCCATCCTCATTAATGGAACTCCACACGGGTTTTTCAAAATGAAGAGAGGGGTTAAGCAAGGGGACCCCCTATCCCCCCTCCTCTTTATCCTGGGAAATGAAGGCCTAAGTAGACTTATTAAGGGGAAGGTTGAGGAGGGTTCCTTAAAAGCCATTCATACAGGGAGAAACCATCCCCCCTCCCACCTTGCATATGCGGATGACATAATTTTCTTCCTTAGTGGTCATTTTAGAAACTTGCTCAGGTTCAAAGGGCTACTGGATTGTTTCCTCAAATCATCTGGACATCTTATCAACCTCAACAAAAGCCATTTCTACACAGGTCTGAGAGTGAAGCTAGATATCAAAGCTAATATGCAAAGAGCACTTCATATGAGAGAGGGCAAGTTACCTTTCACCTACTTAGGGGCAACCATTGGAAAAGGGAAAGTTAAGAAGGAAGATTGTAAGAAAATTGTCCAACATTTTGATGTCTACCTTAATACCTGGCATAGCAAGGTACTCAACCAAATGGGGCGTTTAATCCTAATTAAGCATGTTCTCAGCTCAATACCCTTACACATTGTTGCTGTCCAGCAAATGCCTAAATCTATCCACAACATTTTGAACAAAAAGATGCAGAACTTTCTATGGGGATACAAAAATGGGAAGCCTAAATATCATTGGATATCTTGGAGAGGCTTATGCTACCCAAAACATGAAGGAGGTCTAGGCATTAGACACCTGGAAGATGTAGAAGCAGCTTACTCAACCAAACTTTGGTGGAAGATTAGAAACTCACAAGGTCTTTGGGGGGAATACATGAGGAGAAGATACAGGCCGGATTCTTTTCAAGAACGTCCTACAGACACAGTTACCTGGAAAAGGGCTGCAAAGATCCATAACTGGGCCTTACAACATGTCCAGGAAGTGGATGAAACCGACACCTGGGAGGGAGAGCCCTTCACCACCAAGTTGGCATACCACGCCTGGAGGGATTCTAAGCCTATCTCTCTTGCCCATAAGATGATTTGGAACAAGCTTCAGATTCCAAAGATCAGCCTCTTCATGTGGAAAGCTTTCAATAATATACTCCCCTACCCGGAAAACTTTTCCAGGTTTAACCTTGCCCTTCCTTCCCAATGCAGCTTCTGTCTCAACGGCCCGCAGGACCTCAACCATACCCTCTTCCAGTGTCAATTGTCCTTCAGAATTTGGAGGTTCTTCTCAGCTCTATTTGATGGTCCCATTCCTAGTAGGGAAGATACCCTACATGATACCTGCATGAAATGGTGGATTAGCACGCCATGGAACAAGCTGCAGGATAAAATCACCTCGGTCCTCCCCGGCTTCATTGCATGGGGACTATGGAAGGCTCACAACGAAGTGAAATACGCCGGGAAAGCTTTCAAAGAAGGGACTATTATCGCAACAATCATGAAGACGATACAACAATGGATATGGATTCACAAAGGCAAGAAATGGATGCATATGGATGAAACGTTGAAGTCCTTGGGTTTCCGTTTGCACTTTAATAGAAATAACTCTCAATGCTTTTCTGTCTTGTAATCTTAACTGGTGGGACGAATGCTTCTCCCACATTGCTGTAAACATCCTTTGGTTATTATCAATATAAATTCCGTATTTAAATATATATATATATATATATATATATATATATATATATATATATATATATATATATATATATATAGCTAAGGCTAAGGTGTAAGGTTTACTTTTTTTTTCCTTTTTTGGCTCATTCAAGAATGGGGGCACCCTAATTCCATCGATAAGAGTCATTAACATATACGGAGTATACGGAGAGTCATTAACTCACGGGGTGTTACAAAGTTACTTCACGAGTTTGTTTTCGGTCTCTAGCATTCCTTTCTTCTCTTCCCGTTTTACTTCAAACTTATTCAAGAGAGAATAATGAAGCTTAAATGGAATAAAACCTACCAAAACCAAATTGACACCCTAACCCTAACCATGAAATCAAAAACAAAAAGAAGAAATAATAATATAGCAACAAATACATAAAGCAGGGAAAGAGTACAAAACCCTAAAAATAGCAGTGATAGAATGCAGGGGAAGGAAATAGGTGAGAAATTAGACAGAAAAAAGGAGAAAGGAATTTAGATAAAATATTTCTTACTCATCTCATAGCACCTTCTAGCATTTATACCAGTACAATCCACATAAGGACATTAGTCATTAGCTGGCTAAATATTATAATAGAGGAATCATCTAAATATTGTATTCATCTCATATGCAGAATACAATAAAGCCTGTTCTTTAAAGTTGAAAAGAAAAAGAGTTAGATGTTAAAAGAAACTGAAAGGAAACTCAAAAAAATTGTAAAATTGGGGAAAAAAATGAAATGAACGTGAAAAACCGGAAGAAACTAGAAAAAATTGGACCGCATCGTAGAGCCTGACAAACAATCCCTTGCGCATCAGACATGCTTTTCACAACCATGCATCAAACAAAAAAAAATCAAAGGGAGCATACATACTTATTATTTAGAAGGTTCAACCTATATGGGAAGCAGTTGTATTACTACAATAACAAGCACAAAGCTGAGCTTTTAAAGGATTGACAAATTAGTTTAAGATAGAAAGGCAAGATATGAATTACTCCTGCAAAATGTTGTCTACCTATTAAATCAAGCATCCATACCTGTAATAAGTGATGGTGTCCCAGACACCTCCAGAGTTGGTGGAGGAGGAACCTGTTGTTGCATATTCTGGGATAAAGCTAGTAATTGGTTAAGATCATCTTGGATAGATTCAATTTTTCTTAGTTGATCTTGAATTGACAATTGCAATTGGCTTAAGTTGTGTTTGATGTTGTGAATCCTGTCTTCGAAATGCCTTTGGGCCAAAGTATTCAGAGGCTTGTATTGAAATTAAAATTAGACCTTGAAATCAAGAATAACAAGGTGCATGAAAAAAGGCATTTCATTATTCAAAATAATGTCTAGTTTAGTCTGGGATATTAATGTTCCCGCGGTTCAACCCCATCCGAATTATAGGTTGTATTGCTCATCCTTCATTTATTCTCTCTAACTGTACAATACTGTGAGTCATTAACATATATACCCGAATGCCGCGGAAGTTTACTGCTTCACTAGTTTGTTTTGGCTCTCTAGCCTTCCCTTCTTCTCTTCCCGTTTTACTTCAAACTTTTTCAAGAGAGAATAATGAAGCTAAAATGGAATAAAACCCACCAAAACCAAATTGACATCCTAACCCTAACCATGAAATCAGAAATAAAAAGAAGAAATCATAATATAGCAACAGATACATAAAGCAGGGAAAGAGTACAAGCCTTAAGGGAGATGACAAAGGCCCCGGCGGAGTAGACATGCCTAGGGAGTGAGAGACAGAAGTCCGGAGTTAGTAAGTAGCGGAGAGAGACGGATGACTATCCTCTGCATCGTCATCTCTCTTCCCTTTCCTTTTCTTCCTCACCTGCATGCGACGGTGACAACCTCTGTACTCACAGACCTGTGCAAACAACAAGCCCGCCATGAGTACGGACAATCTTTAATACCCACGTCTTGAGGACATCAACCACGGTCTTGACGCCGGTTCCTTGAGGACATCAACCACGGTCTTGACGCCGGTTCCTCCTCCACGACGCCAAAGGATATTGCCGCTGCCATTCCAGTGGCTGAAACTACTGCACCTACGGCTGGACAGGAGGACACACCAGTGCTGTCAAACGCTGGTAAGGAAGGCAATGCAACGCCCAAAGATGTACCCAAGGCATGGAAACCGCCGTTCAAGGCATTGAAGCCTCCCAAATCTGATAGCCCTAATTTCATGCGGCTTTGGAGGGAAAAAAAGGAGCTTCTTGATGGGGAAAACAAAAAGATTGCGGACAACCATAATGTGCATAAGGAACTAGCCGCTTTCAACACAAAACACTATGGGAGACCGAAAGGGTGAACCATCTACGTTTCCTATTGTATTGTGCTAGTTAATGCTTATTCCTTGAGCTTGACACGAGTTGTCTTTGATTTTATAGGGGTATGCCCCGGTGCATTGTATGTTTACTTTGTGATTGTACTTTGTAATGACTCTTGGATTTTAATAATTTACATTTTATCCTTGAGAAAAAAATACCCACGCGGGGCGGGCGGGCGCAAGCCCAATTTGTATTTGGGCAGATGTGGAAGCTTTAACTCATCCAAGCCAATAGGCCCGCCCATATTCATTAAATACATTTACTTTATTATTTACCTAAACAATATAAATTTTAAAATTTTCTTTAATTAATGTATAATACAGAGTAGTTCATATCACCCACCCCTCTTAAACAAAAATGAATAGTCTTTTAATGAATCTATATGATGGGTTTATTAATTATGTAACAAAATTTCTATTATGTTTTCTATTTAAATGTGGCAAGTAGTAATTTTATTTTAAACATTTGAAAACGAATTCAATATTTTCTTTTTGATTTTTCTGTGTAAAAAAGATATTCTTGATGTTTTATCTGGGCCGGGCGGCCCGGTGGCAGTTCGGCTCGCTATGGTGGGCGGGTATGGGTAAAGAGTTTAACCCATCAAATGTATGGGTGGATTTGACCCGACATGGATTTGATGGGCTAAATTCTTTACTCATACCCGTCCATCTTAGCGGGCCGAATTGCCTACCGGGCCGCCCGGTCAGGATAAAACATCAAGAAAATTTTTTTTACACAAAAAAATCAAAAAGAAATTATTGAACTCGTTTTCAAATGTTTAAAATAAAATTATCACTCGCCTCATTTACATAGAAAACATAATAGAAATATTGTTACATAATTAATAAAATCATCATACAGATTCATTAAAAGACTATTGATTTTTCTTTAAAAGGGATGAGTGATATAAACTACTATACATGAATTGAAGAAAATTTTAAAATTTATATTATCTACTACCTCCGTCCCGCTATATTTGTCCACTTTTGACTTTTGGAACTGTTCATCTAAGCATTTTGACTCATCAAATTCTCGTAATGTGTAAGCCTAAATATAGTTATGGGTGATCTTGTTTGATTTGTCTTAAAGAAGTGCATTGGATGAGGTATAAAAATGAAAGTAGACAAATAATCTAGGACGGAGGGAGTAGATAATTAATACTCCATCTGTCCACCATCGATCTTCCAGACACTATTCACAGAGTCAAACTTTACTCACTTTGTTTGCTCAATTTTACTAGTCATTTCATAAAATAATATAGTCTTGTCACCTCTAGTTTTGTAGAACCTTTCATGTAGTTTATTACTATATAAATTTTATTTTAAAATTTTACTCATATAATCAATTAAATTGAATTGAAAATAAAGTCTGTCAAACCTCGTAACGCGTAATGGGAAGATCATACATGGACGGAGGGAGTAATAAAGTAAAGCCCTGTTTGGATGTTGGTGGTTAGCCGTTGGCTGTTGGCAGTTCGTGTCAGCTTTTGTGAATGGTTGTTTACTTCAGCTGGTTTGACCGGCAGGATGAATTGGCTGATTGTAGACACACACGATATTTATATATAGACACATACGATATTTATTTTTCATTTTTTTACTTGTAAAAATTAAATCTTTACAGTATGGAGTATTAAATTTTACTTTCAATTAATTCATAAGAAATTATTATTATACAACTTTTTTATTATTTTTACTTTTTATTTTCTCATTTCAGTTTTTTGAGATTTTAAATTTTTAAATTTAATTTTTTTTAGTATTTAATTTTTTTAACTTTTATTTTTATTTTTAGTTTTTACATATATTATAAAATATCTTTCAAG